AAAGTAACAACACGGGGACAATTAACGCTGCACACCCCGGCCGTTTCTTGTGATATTTTTTCTCAGTTGGTATCTTTGCTGGAGGCTGGCTTTCCTTCAGGTGATTTCACTGATAGGAAGGCCAGTTTGAGCACTCCCGGGGGAAAGGGGGCGGCCTGATGTATATTTAAGAGCACTGAATTGGAAATTATGGGGAAGATGAGCTGCTGTTCACCCTTGTGTTTCGGGTTGTAATGACTGTCTGGGGCGGTGAAATTGCTTGGAGCCCGCTGTACATCCATCACCAGCCAAGCCGTGTCCATCCATTACCCGCACCGACCAATGTCAACCTAGCCACACCTGACGCTATCTGTCTATCCATCTATCTGTCTATCTGTATTAACACACACACACATATATATATATATATATATATATATATATATATATATATATATATATATCACATGTCTGTACATACATATATATATATATATATATATATATGGGGGGGGGGGGGGGTGCACGTGTGTGGGGGGGGGTGTCGGTGTGGGTGGGTGTCGGTTTTGAAAATTTCGGTAGAGATTCAAGGATACATAGCTGTGGACTTTAGTTCAACTGCCGCAATACAACCGTGTCGTTTTCGCCGCGAGTTATATTCCAGATTGCATCTACGCACAACAACTGAGCTTCAAAAACCTTCACGGCGGAAAAGCCCGTGATGTATAGGTAAGGAACATCAGAGATATGTTTTCTATCGATGTAATCAGGTTTCGTTGCCAGTTTCACAGCGCTGGCGACTTTTGTCCGTTGGAGACCCTGATGGTGACCAAGACCCTTGGAGTTGGCGACCGTTGAGCGCGCGAAGGGAACTGCACATAGAGATTGGACGCAATGCCTGGGTACTTTGCATTAAGGGATGCTGAATAGCCTTCCGTCGGTTTGGTCAGGAAGCACGGCAAAGTTATTGGAGCAGACTTGTTTTGGGATTCCGTTCAAAATGACGTGCAGGTTCGTTGCTCGTGGACAGCAATTATGCGCCAGACATAGCAAATGTTCCAGTTGGTGAGGCCAGCTCGGAATTATTGCCTGCAGCAGCTCCATGTTATATGGTCTCCGCTTATTGAATATCAGCGTGTTCACCACAGCAGCGGCTTATCGTCACTGGTTACTGGATGCTATCGATCCGTTCGATCCGTGAGGCTGCTCCAACTGCCACCGCCAAACGGAAGCAGGTGAATCACCTCTCTCGTCCCTCAGGCTGTGGGTCAAGGCCTCCTCTCTCTTCGTCAGTGCGCTCTCTCTTAAAGAAGCTTTTCTCCGACGGAAGGTATCGAGAGGTGCCCCCGGCGGGGTAAGAATGAACTCATTTTTCAAAGGGAATCCATCCCATGTTAGCCTGCCGTCGGTTTTCTCGAAAGCTTGATCTGCAGAAACCCGCCGAACGCATCTGTTTTATGGTTATTTTATGGTTATCCGATCCATTCAATTCGTTGGGTGGAATCCCTTCGAATGTAACATTTCTGTGGTAGGAATTCAGTCGGGCGGGCACAGTCCGTGCCGCAGACCGCGGACAGACTCTGGGCACTCCGGGCACCACGGGCAGACTCCGGGCACAGACCGCGGGCGCAGTCCGTCGCGCAGTACTCTGCTTACCGACACGTTGAAGACGCTGTGGACTCCTCGCCGTGGCTTCAAACACTGTGCGTCGAACAGCTCGTCTGGTTATGACTAAGTGTGCGAAATCAGCGAACGCAACGCCTGATTGGCCTATCCAGGGCGTTTCAGCGACATCCAGCAACATTCATCCATTCAGCACTGCAGTGACCCGCATCCCCAGAGCCATGCGGTGCGGTGGTTCAACAACCCAGTATGAGGCCGATGCATATGCGTTTCTATCACCAGAAATCGTGCAAAAAGGGCCTATATTTGGTCTTATCACGATACCGTCGGAACCAAGCGAATTCGTGTATCCATCCGTCTGTTACCCTCCTTTTGCCGTTGCCAGTAGATCTTCCCTGAGGCCATTTATCGGGTCTGTCACATCAGGGGTTGCTGAAGATCCACAGACAGTAGTGACGACCAATGTGCTCGCTGTGCCCGAGCCTGGTATAACTGGATCGCTTTGTGACATTGGCAACGCTGCCGTCGATGGACAACGCTGGACCCCCGACTGACGCTATTAGCCGAACACTGAGCAGCTCATTAGGCGATGCAGTTGGCTGTCGGGTATACCCGATGCTCAGTGTACTCAGCCTCCAGGCGGTGGAATCGATTTTGGATTTGACTCTCCGTACGTGGAGTCGGAGTCGGGAGTCAGTCCGGTCCCGGACCCTGCGAACGCCCCGTGACTCGCGGCTGACACAGCATGAGTGCAATCTACTTGAGCGCCTGCGGCGTTGAAGTTGAGCGACTCCGCGGACGTCGTGCGGCTCCGGCCGACGGCGGTTTGGAATTCGGAAAATGCGGTCCGAGAACATTGCCAGTTTTTGTGGCGAGAAAACACGCGAAAGCGCCGTGTGCTGGCAGCCGGCAAGCCTGTATAAGATATATTCTGGTAATGAGTCAGGGATAAGTAGGTGTGCAATTTTCAGTAGTGCGAACTGCCAGAACAAGAGCGGGTTACTTCATGAACTATATTTTTGGTCCATTTATAAATTCAGGTGACCGTTATGACGTATTTTCCAGTCGTGTTCTCCTGAGGCCAACTTATCAAAAAATTCCATAAAGTTCTGATTTGAACCCGACTACCTCAATCGTTTGAAGAATCTATTCCACACCGACTCCGCCAAAACTTGGTTGCTTCCGAAGTTCATTCCGACTGCACCCAATTCACGCAGAAGCCGGGCGCCCGAATGTACACTTGGCCCAAAGACAGCACACTACTGGACGTTGCCCATCTCCATTGGCGAAGCCGTCGCTCGATGATGTAAGGGACTGTCTCAGCCTCGCTCTGCGCGTGCTGCGCCCTAGATATTCTGTGTATGCAGCGCAAGACGCCATGCGTCGTTACTTGAGTGCTGACGTCATGGAGGGCCCTCCCCCGTCCACCCGTCGTGTGTCCGTGTTCCCCAATGTCCGTGCGGCCGGCTCCCCGTGCACCCGTTCGTGCTGCCGGTTCCCCCGTGCACCCGTTCATGCTGCCGGTTCCCCCGTGCACCCGTTCGTGCTGCCGGTTCCCCCGTGCACCCGTCCGTGCGGCCGGCTCCCCGTGCACCCGTCCGTGCTGCCGACTCCCCTGTGCACCCGTCCGTGCTGCCGGCTCCCCGTGCACCCGTCCGTGCTGCCGGTTCCCCCGTGCACCCGTCCGTGCTGCCGGTTCCCCCGTGCACCCGTCCGTGCTGCCGATTCCCCCGTGCACCCGTCCGTGCGGCCGGCTCCCCGTGCACCCGTCCGTGCTGCCGACTCCCCTGTGCACCCGTCCGTGCTGCCGGCTCCCCGTGCACTCGTTCGTGCTGCTGGCTCCCCCATTTGCACCCGTCCGTGCTGCCGGCTCCCCCGTGCACCCGTCCGTGCTGCCGGCTCCCCCATTTGCACCCGTCCGTGCTGCCGGCTCCCCCGTGCACCGGTTCGTGCTGCCGGCTCCCCCATTTGCACCCGTCCGTGCTGCCGGCTCCCCCGTGCACCCGTCCCTGCTGCCCGCAAGCCGTCTGGGCACATGGCATGTGCCAAGTGACTTCACGTGGTATGAGTGTGAGAATTTTGCAGCTGCAATATGGAACGAACGTGCCCGCAGCGACAACCTTAGGGCGCATGAGGCCACGACATTTGCTATGTGTCAATAGGCTCAAAGCTGCAGATGTTCGCGTGGGTCTCAGCCACAATCTGAGACTAACGATTTTTTTATGATACGCGCCTCGTGACCACGTGGTTGAGGCCTGCCCGCGGACCAAATAATCAGCATCATAACTCCCGAATGTGGGCCAGCTATGTTTGGGTTCACCGTTGTACCGTGATGCAGTTGCCATGCAAACGGAAAGCGCGACGCGCAGTTGTGTTGCCGCGGGTCGTGTTGCTCGAAATCGCGGGTCGTGTTGCCGTTCCCGCGCTGCAAATGGCGCGACTCGCTGCGGCTAGAGGTGCCGATTAGATTCCTTTTTTTAGTAAATAATTTTCAAAAAAGTTAAAAGAATCCGAAAAAGTCGCGCTTGAAAGATGGACAGATGGGGTAAAAATCTGCAGATTTTTTAAAGAGCCGATATATTTTTGTTCAAAACGACGTGTTTGTGGAATATAACAAGCTGTTGATAGAGGACGCTAGAAAATAATTCGTTTTGAAACATGAAATAGAAATCTGGACCTAAGACCTAAACCTAAGACCCAAATCTGAGGAAGCTCTACACCGCCCTATGTTCTTTAGTTTATGAGACTTATGAACTGGGATGGGAACGCACTTTTCCCAAAATTCCTAAGTCGCACCAGTTTTGAATCGTTGTTGTACGGCTTCCGCTTTGATGACAAAAATGATGTCGTCAAAATGACATTTTTTGGATAAGCTGATTTTCTGGACACATTCCGGACGGACAGCTGGTTTATGCTTGAACTTTGGCCTGGACTTTGGGAAAGGACTTCCAGAAAACGGCGCCTCTAGCCGGGACACCGATGACTAAATAAGTCCGGCCTTTCGCAAACTGGCGACATAAGCGACCGATCTGTCAAGGCAGATGGCTCTTTATCAGCGGTGAAGGATCAGTGCCCACCCGTGTAAGTTTTTTTTAACGTAACTCCGCTTTCCACGCGGAGGCGGCGATGCCAGCAACAGTAACGATCTCATTATTCGCGTGAATTGACAAACAACCCAGTGCGTAATGATTGCGCCGCTAACGACGCCACCAGAAAGCGGCGGCACGCGTTGACGAACAGCCCGACAGTTTGCCGTTGCCGTGGTTCACAACCTGATCAAGCAGGAGCCATCCGGATCGAATTCAGGTCAAGGCCGAATCAAGAGAGATGAGTGCCCGGTCGCCGCTCATCGACGCGCGCTCCCGGCAATGCCCACTCACCCTGTGCCCTGCCGGCAGGAGGCGGCGCGGGTGGCGCGGCGGAGCCTGGCCTCCTCGCCGGAGCCGGAGAGTGGCGCCGGCGCCGCCCTGCTCGCCCAGCTGGAGAAGGCGCAGCACAACCAGCTGACGCCGCTCAAGCAGCGCGAACGGTTCGCCAACGTGAGCCGGCTGGACGCGGCGCTGCTGGGCTTCGAGCCGCGCTGCGCGCTCGAGACGCGCGAGGTGGTCTCGGCCGTGCTGCGCGCCGAGAGCGAGCCGTGCCGGCGCGAGCTGGTGGAGTTCGCGTGCCGGCTGCGCGAGGGCACTGCCTACCCGGTCCGGCTGCCCAACTACTGCCCGCACCATGGTGAGTGACGGGGAACGGCGACGGGCGGCGGGAAGGTGCGGAGACGGAGACGGAGACGGAGACGGAGACGGCGACGGAGACGGCGTCGGCGCGCTGGGGAGGGCGGGAACCTTGATGGGTCCAGGTCGCGAGCTTGATGAGTCCTGTGGGGAGAGAACAAGACTCTCATGTTTGGGAGGGCGAGCGAAGATGTTCATACGCTGGGGAGGGAGTGAGGAAGACGTTGGATGTGTTCGGGAGGGAGAGAGGAAGTCGTCTTTACATCGGGAAGAGGGAGAGAAGGGGGACGTTTGTGACGGATGACGGGGGAGAGAGACGTCCAGACATTGGGTGAAGAGATAATAGGACGCTCGCGAAACGGTATGCAACTAAGTGTGAGCCAAATTGAGCACGTGTTGACTTCCGCATAGCTGGGACTTATTACAGTAACATGGATGCTTATGACACTTGGCTGACTGTTCACGTCAAGTTCAGAAAATATACGGTTTGATTACAGATTGATTGCCTGTAATGGCTGAATGGCTTCGTCTAAACAGATGGACGGCTTCTGTCAGAGTTGGACCCCAGCAAATATTAGATATCACCAATCAACGATGCCAACTCATGATCGTTGCCTTAGTCTGTTGCCTTGGCCGTTGTCTCACATCGCCCAGTTTTTTTTTTTTAATATGATCTATTTGGAGGCTAGTTCTGCGGCTGAGCTCAAGAACACGCAACCATTTTAACGTGCATGGGCTTTTACGGGTTATCGGTCAGTGTTTGGTGTGTACAGACCTCGGACTCCATCAAAATATGCCGAATATTTGCGCCCGACAATACCAGGTCCTAAAACGGAGTCGTGGAACTCCCTGAGACCCCGCATTTCGTCGTGTGGTGCAATAACACCGGAAGTGGTACCGTCCAACAATTCCCCCCAGACAGCAACAGGACATGAAGTACGCGAAGTACAACAGGACAAGAACCGGCGGGCTCTTGATCCTCCACTGCGAACTTTGATGTTGCCCTCATTTGCGAGGTGGCATTGTGAAGCCCTGAATCAGTGACCGCGTATTGTTCCCCCCCCCCCCCTCGTACAGAACGGCAGGCATCTCACGTGCGCTCTTCGTGACAAGCCGCCCCCACCGTCAAGGCCATCCGACGCCAGCAGTCTTAAATCAGCGACCAGTGTCCGTCTGACCCTGCGATGAACGTGGCCAAGCTTCCGGGCAGATCCATCATGGACGAACTGCCGGATATTTTTTGCGGGGGTCCTGGCGTGGACAGTACAAGTTTACAGTAGCAGCAAATTACATTTACATTTTACAGTAAAATTGTAGAACAAATGGTTGGAGAGTTACTTCCTATGCCCGTAAACCAGTTACGTAGAAGACCATGTCCCAATACCGTACTTGGACCGATCTGCTATGGTTTGCACCGACCTTCCTTGCACCGACCTTTGCGCCGACCGGCACCGGCTACCGACGTGCTGTCCTCTCTCCGAACAGCGGTGCCGGTTACTGGCATGCTCTTATCCCTGAGCGCCCCTCCCCCCTCATGCAAGTGGGCTGGCCTGGCCACATCGGAAGTAATACACACCGGCGGCGGGGGGGGGGGAGGGGGGGGGGGGGCTACGACCGTCCGCTACCGATAATGGTCGCGTAGAGACCGTGGAGATGTCCCACGACGGTCGTCCGTCTTCCTTGCGGCTGCGGCCGACTGTCGCAACGGCGGCGGCGGCGAGCCTGCGGCGCGTGCACAAACTGCCGCTGATATTTGTCGGTGATGGTTGGTTTGCCACGCCAGCATGGTTCACTGAAAGATTTGAATAAGGGTGAGATATGCGCCGCGAATTAATACGGATACCATCGTACTGCATTACCGGGTGTTCGATCAGCATCCGGTGATATAAACTTCCGGTCTTCAGTGCCGATCAATGGGAATAAATACATGCGTGTTGTCTTTTTTTATTGGATTCACCTTTTTATTTCGCCTCCCGAAACACGGACCTCTGCTTCCGCTGTAGATTATGGCGACCACACCGCCGCCCCATTTTCCGGTGTCGCCGCCGGCTGGTGTCGTCCGCTCGCGTCGTCGCCGCATCCCGCCAGCTGCCCACGCGGAACCGAGCCGCACGCACGTCTGTCGCCGTCGCATGCGATGGATGGGCCGGCTATCGTGGCTGATGGCCGCTCGTCTGGCTCGCAGCCACAGCCCGCCCCTTTCCGCCCGGACGCCGCCGCCCCCGATAGTGTGCGATGGCCGCAGCGATGGCTTCACGGCTATCGGCTGCCGTCGGGCGGGCAGCGTCACGGGCGAAGCCGGCGGCGGCCAGGCGGCCGCACCGGACCGGGTGCCTGGCGAGCCGACGCTCGGCGGAGGCCCGCGCGGTCCCCGCCGCTCCAGCGCCCCCGGCCTCCGTGCTTGGTCGCCTCGTCACGAGCCGGTGCCCGGCTTTACCCGGCGACCGTAAGGCGCGCGGGGGTGATCGACGCTCCGGCCGCGGCCGGTGGCGGGCCGAACACCCCTGCAGTCGGCCGGCGGCGGGTCGGACACCCCTGCAGTCGGCCGGCGGCGTGTGTCGGTTGGATTAATTCAACCGGAACTCCCGAGACGCTTGCTTTTGCTGGAAACCGCCGGAAGAAAAGGTCTGGGAGAGGACGGGATTAAAGCGGAAAGCGGCTGGAAGTTGTTTGGTGCTCGGCGGTTTCGGTGCCGGCGGCCGCCGACTTTGGGCTCGGCTGCCTAATTAATTAATGGAGGCGCTTTTCCGTATGGAGCCTGCTTTAAGCTGCCGTCAGTTACCTGGATGAGCCGTTAAACCCGGTCCGCTGGGGGCCCCCCGTTGTCGGTCGCTACAGTTGGACGCAAAACGCCCATTGTTCCACAGAATTGGCGAAGTGGTTTCCTCACCGGCCGTAATTCTCGGTCTTCCTCGCATTAAGGTACATCATGGAAGCCGTCGCCAGAGCCGCCGATTTATCTCAATGATTGGAACGGGTTACCGGTAGGGCAGCGGTTATTGGAACGGGTTACCGGTAGGGCAGCGGTTATTGGAACGGGTTACCGGTAGGGCAGCGGTTATGTTGCGCGTCTGGGAAACCAGAGGTACGGGGTTCGATTCCCCGCCGTGTCCGCCCTTCCTGCCAGGGTGAGAGGCAGGCGACGCCATATAGCCTCAGCAGCTTACTGCCTCGTAAAGCCTAATGACACACGCGCACACGCACGCTCGGCCGGTTCGGCCCTGCTCCCCAGGATGTGAGAAATGGTGTTAACTGCGGATCCACATAAGCTGTCCTAGGTCTTCGACGTTTGGACGACGACGGACGACGACGACTTCGACATCAAACGCGGTCACGAGAATTGGCGGAGCCATGCGGGAACAGACGTGCGAAGGCCCTTCTGCTGCTTCAGCCACCGTGATGTGGAATCTGGATATCGTTAGTCATGTGGGCGTGACGAATTGACGTTTTGGGAATAGTTAAAATGGAGTCCAAAAGTGCCGTTTTTCACCTCTGATTCGCTGGTATTGAAGCGGGCCGGCCGTCACGTTTCAACCTGCATTTGACAACGAGCGTGGCATCGCAGACTTGGGGTTACCACCATCATGTTGACGTATGCGGCGTATGTGTCGTTACCAGTATTCTTTTTTTAAAAAGGATTCGTTGCTGTCTTAAGCCCCCGCTGCTCTGAGTGTGCCGCTCTGAGTGTCCACCGTTCTGAGTTTCTGTCGCTCTGAGTTATAACCGCTTTGAGTGTCCGCCGCTTTGAGTGTCTGCCGTTCTGAGTGCCCGCCGCGCTAAGTGTCCGCCGCTCTGAGTGTTCACTGTTCTGAGTGCCCGCCGCGCTAAGTGTCCGCCGCTCTGAGTGTTCACTGTTCTGAGTGCCCGCCGCGCTAAGTGTCCGCCGCTCTGAGTGTTCACTGTTCTGAGTGCCCGCCGCGCTAAATGCCACTCTCAGTGTCCGCCGTTTTTAGCGCTCGCCGTTCTGAGTGTCCGCCGTTCTGAGTATCCACCGCCCTGAATGCCTGTCCTGTTGTGTATACGCCGCCATGAGTGTCCGTCGGTGTGACTGACGGCTGCCTTGTGTGCCTGAGTGCCTCGAGTGTGATCGGCCATATTCGGGTGTTCGTGACTTTGACCGCAAAACAGTTGTCTAACATTCTGCACAATGTGTAAGCGAGCGCCACAAGCATGTAAGGGCATAGTATGTATCGTTACATGCACAGCGACTATTGCACTGAGATCACGCTAACTACGTGCTGTTCGTATCACAACCACCGGCAACGTGCATCCTTAGCACTGTAGCTGGTGATGCTGGCCCCAGCGTGGTCTGCTGGCGCCAGCGATATTGCAGCCGAGCTAGAGTGCTGGGCGGCGGCTGGGCGGCTCGGTGTGTGTGAGTGTGAGCCGCTTCCGTGCCACCGGCGCTGTGTGGCTTCTGCGGCTGTTTGTTCGGAGTGGTTCGGCGGTCGCAATGACGTTTCGATGTGGGTTTATTGCTGTGAGGGGTGGGAAGGACTTGGCCGCTGTAGGAACCGGGGGGAGGAGGAGGAGGAGGAGGGCGTTAGCGCACGCTCGTGTACTCCCGGTTCGGTTTGGACGGCGACTGGACGGCTCAGCGACTGCGTTTTCACGGTTTCTGCGTGGCCTGCGCCTTAGTTCGGCTTAAGTCTGGTGGACCCTCGCCGTCGCTGTCTTAAAAGACTGATGCTTCCAGCCATGTGCCTGGATCATGGGTTAATGAAGGATCCCATTGGGTTCCGCGTTTGTGGGATCCTGAGATCTTTTTGAGAGACTTCAGGCACATGTCTGGATACTATCTGGACCACTATGTTGTGTGTTTTAGGTAACACCGATCCCCTTTGGACTGGGCATTCTTACAGACAAAACAGTACTGTTAGCCTTATTCCTCTCGGATAACCAGGAGAAAGGAGAGATGATGCAGTAATGTTTCGGGCACATGCCTTTATCCAGCACGATAGATAGATGAAAATAATTCGCATGTATAGGTGATGCCTAGTGCCAGATACGTTATGGCTATTTGCTTGTATTGCATAGTAGGACCGCTGACGTTCATCTTCTTTACCAACGACATCCAGTGTTATGTTTCAACTACGTGTAAACTAGTGTCATACGCAGACGACATGCAGCTCATGCATGAATCATCACCATCTGCATGTAGTTTCGCACAACTGCGTTCGTGTGTTGAGTCCGATTTGACCGCAGTCTCAGTATGGTTTGTCACAATGGCATGAAGATCAACCCGTCAAAAACGGAATTCATTGTTGCTGGCACACCCACCAACTCCCGCAAAGCCGCCGGGACGAGTGCGAATTTTGATAACTCCCAGCTGTCTCCCTCAGAGTACATCGAAATACTGTGGTTGCTCATCGATGCAAATTTCAACTGGTAGCATCAAACGGCCAAAACTACGCAGCGATGTTTTGGCTCCCTCATAGCTATTAACAAACGCAGGCATGTGCTTCCCAGCCCCCCAAGTCCCTAGTTGAGTCACTGGTTTTCCCTCGCATCAGATATTGTTTACCGGCCTGGGCCCGACAACAGCCGTTCAGCGCCAGCGCCTGGATGAGACTATTAACTTCGCGGTCAGGCTTGTTGCCGGCAAACCCAGACGAGATCACATCACGGAATCCCCAAAACAGCCTAATTGGCCCAATTTAGACGAGACTGTCACCCACCGCGACTGCATATGTTTGCATCGCGCCATTTACGTGCCTGATGGGCCACGGACTTTCAGTAATCTGATCAGGCGTCGATCTGAAGGATCTCGGCGGCACACCAGAACCATTGATAACGAAACTGTACTGCAGACGAGCGCTGTAAAACACGCTCGCTTAGAGCGCGTGAAAAGGGCACTTTCGTATCGAGCCGTAGCGGCGTGGAATTGTCCCTTACCGCCACGCGCCAGTGCAAAAACTGAAGTGAGTTCAAGGGCAAAGCAATGCCTTTCATCAGAGAACTTACCTAAATTGACCAACTGGCCATGACGTGCAGGTGCTGATTGTATCACAAGTCGGCCATGTTTTATATAACACCGTATGTGTATCGCTGGCGTTGCATCTCATTTGCATGTGTTGCGTGTTCTGTGTTGATATATGTAGTATGCACTGACTCGGCGTTGGAATAGCCACTAGCTGGATTTCGTCAAGGTACACAATGATAGCAATAATATTAGCTTGGATTCGTTCGCGTGCACACGCATTTTTATGTAGCTTTAACCGTTTGTTAGACATACACTGTATCGCAATAATAGCTGACAATTGCTTCTTGTTTAATGCCCTGAATGTTGATGACCTGTAAAACTGGCGCTGTTCCAAAAACCCTGAAAAGTCGATTGGGGTCGGAAAGCAGTTTTGAATTTGCTCCTCATATTCGTTGATCGTTTTGACACAGACATGTAGCCTAATTATTATTGCATCTTCCCCTCATTTCTCCCGGTTTTTTTAACGAGAAATAAGTTCAACAGCACTGCCATCTATTTGTACAAATTCTCGCGTAAACGCACGTAACAACTTACTTGAACATTCGCGAGGCCGATGCGGGACTGTTAAGGAGCTGTTGTCATTCGTTGCCTAGCGATACAGGTCGTCTTTGCGGTGGCCGAATCGTAGGTGAAATGCCTAGCAACAAGACATGGGAGTGTGCTATAGCCTCTTTTTTAACTACGCTATTTCTCGTTTTTTATCCCAGCGCGTTACGTCATGCTTTGATAGCGTGTGCATTGCTTAAGCTTAAACGTTTTGACGCATAAGTTTTGAGCAATACGAACACGCAGTTTTCCCAAAAAGGCGCGGCGTAACGTAACACGTCGATTTCCTTCAGTCTCGCCACGTGATGTACCAATCACCGAACCCACCAGCTCGTGGTCGCCCGAGCCGCTGCACGGCCTCGCAATGTCTGTGTCGGCGCCGGGTGCCGAGGTTGCGGCCGCCGCTATCAGCCGTCTCCGATCATGGCCGGCGCTGGCAGACGACGTGTGGCGGCGCGGCCATAAATCACAGGGCATCGCGCTCCGGCCCGGCGGTTATCTGCCGCCGCCGTGCGCAGAGGCGACGCGGCCGGCTTTGTGGGGTTCGCCCCGAGGCGACGCGGCCGGCTTTGTGGGGTTCGCCCCGAGGCGACGCGGGGCTTCGCCCCAGGGACGCGGCCGGCTTTGTGGGGTTCGTCCCGAAGGCGACGCGGCCGGCTTTGTGGGGTTCGCCGAGGCGACGCGGCCGGCTTTGTGGGGTTCGCCCCAAGGCGACGCGGCCGGCTTTGTGGGGTTCGCCCCGAGGCGACGCGGCCGGCTTTGTGGGGTTCGCCCCGAGGCGACGCGGCCGGCTTTGTGGGGTTCGCCCCGAGGCGTTCGCGGCCGGCGGGTCGGGCGGCGGCGCTGCTGCGTACATCGCCTCGTGTTGGACTGTGCCCAGCCTTGCAGGTGGTCTTTCCTCTCCTTCGCTGCAAGATTGTGCATTCGTCTTTCTGCGATTTGCTGTGCGATGCTCATCGAGGAACTGCGTTGTTGTTCTGTTTGTCAGGCTGGTGTGCGAACTGCTCCGTGTTTCATATGGCGAGCTATTGTGTCAATTTCTTTGCTCTTTTATATGACAGCTGTGTTGTTTACCTTAAATTGGCAATGTCGGAAATACAAGTTCACAACTCGTGGTAATGGCCCGGGCTCCAATTTCCGGCCTTTACTCTCCGCGTCTTTACTCTAGGCAATGTGTGCCTACTCCCAACAACACTGGGTGGTGCCGCTTAGAGCACGTAATGATCCGGTGAGCCGAGAATTAGGCACCGGGACTACGTGCTGAGGCCAGCCCGTGATCCCACGTGCCGATAGATCAGATGGTGACCCCACGTGCCCGGGATCAGATGTAGATCCCACATGCCGGGATCACATGGTGACCCCACGTGCCCGGGATCAGATGGTGATCCCACGTGCCCGGGATCAGATGGTGACCCGACGTGCCCGGGATCAGGTGGTGATCCCACGTGCCGGGATCAGATGTAGATCCCACATGTCAGGGACCACAGCGTCCCAACAGCGTCCCAGTCTGCGCTCTCACGTGCTGGGATCCCATTCGCCGTGGATGGGACGCTGATCTACAGCGTCGGCGGATCACACAATGACGCCACGTGCCATGGATCAGACGGTGACCGGAGAGCGTCCTCCCCGGATGACGCGCCCGGCCCATTGCACGTCTGGGGCTGATCCTCTGAAAGATGTGGACTCTGGCTGATCGAGCAGGCCGATGCAGGGATTGGTGCCGGTGGCTGAGCTTAGGTCAATGGAGGAGCTCCCGGAAATGGGAGAGGGAGAGGGAAGGGGTGCGGTGTGGGGAAAGATGGTGTGCTGAGAGTGATTGAGTGACTGCGTTTTTGGGGTGTATCGTTCTTTGACCAGACTGGCTGTTGATTCGGGTGAGGCAATTACTGCGTGGTGAGGCTCTTTTTGCTGTTTTTTTTTTCTGTGTGATACATTATGCTGTTTTTGCAACTTGTTTTGTTCGCGGCGTCCCAATTAGCAACAAAATTGCTGAGGTACGTTCGGCCAATGTGGCTTTTTTGCTTTCATGATTAACGGATTTATTTAAGCGTTTTGAGCCGGTGCCATACTAACCATCACTTTCCTGGACAAATTTAGATCCGTTGGACTTCTTTCAAACAAAACATGCATCATCTCTCCGGATTTGAACCGTGGACCTTCAGCTCCGAAACCCGGCGCGCTCACCACAGCGGCCGGCGCTGCCCACAGGACACGAGTACGGTCGCCAGCTGGGCTGCTTCCGGGACAGCAGGACGCTGCGCCTGCTACCGTCGCTGGCGGGGGTGGTCAACAATACCGAGGCCTGCCTCGAACACTGCGTCAGGGAGAGTTTCGTCTACGGCGGCCTGCAGTACGGGTGAAGCTAGCGGGGCCGCCGGGTGGCTGGCCTCCGAGGAGCCGCGCGTGGGCTGTCTCGAACACTGCGTCAGTGAGAACCTCGTCTACGGCGGCCTGCAGTACGAGTGAGCGAGCGGGGCCGCCGGGTGGCTGGCCCCCGAGGAGCCGCGCGCGCGGGCTGCGAGATGGTGTTTGGTCTGCTGGGACCCCTGTCCCCATGCGACGCTGACTGCCAAGAGGGTGCCGCTTTCTGCTGGCTGGTTGGCAGGTATCCTGGTGATGTTCTGTGTCGCTCTTCATTGGATTAGTTTACGAACGCTTCGACGGGGTGCCGGAGTACTTACGCACAGGTGAGTTTCATGTAGCTGCGTAGCCGTACCGGGCGTGTAGGGGTTTTGTAGCATGTTTTGTGCCGTTCGGTACACACTACAGTAGCCCCCGTCCTTTGCTCCAAGCGTGCTTTGATTCAGTGTACACAATAGCGCAGGTTGCAAGTCAGGCACTAACAAACGAACATGTACGTAAATCAAGTGCTACACAGGAATGTGACTAGGGCGGGTCGAAATAACTTGCTTTGTCTTTCCGTGTGGTTTGGCATCAGAGTAGGTTGGACACAGCTCCATAACGCAAAACTGAAGCCACATGCGGTCCAAAGTTGCGTCGTTTAGGCATACCACGAAGAACACTGAGCTTTACAGACGTGCCTGAACCGCGGGTGATTTACAAGTCAAGGCCCCTACCTCAAACTTACTCCATTTAACCACGTGGTTGTAAGTCGTGGATGTCTTTGTATACAATGTGGTTTAAAAAGCAGGTTCTTGTAGCTTTGCTGCGCAGTTTGAGAGCTGCACCGCGAGGAGCGCAGTTGCCGTCTGATTGGACGAGAGTGGATGACGTCAGTGGAGTGAGCGGCCCTATGGCCACTGCAATGACAGAGGCCCGAGTACATCGTCTGAAAACATTTTTTGCTTCGGACTTTGCGGAACCAAGTTTCTTGAAAAATTTTGCCACGATAGGGTAACACACGTGTGATTTTTTAAAGCATACGTTTTGCCATTTCATCCGTTGTGGTTATTCCAAGTTGGAAAGGAAAGAGCGTATTGAAAACCTAGTACACAACGCTTCGATCAAAATGTTTAGCTTTATTCAGCTATTGGTAGGAGTGTGTGTAGAATAAGGGCCTGCAGTTACCTTAGTCCCAGACAATTTACGCGAATCCGACATCCTTTGTGTGACGTCATCACCTCTGCCACTCTTGACGATGGAATGGTTGATTGGAGCGTTGTGCACATCGCTTTTGAATGCGCCTATAGGACATTTGAAACCGGGATGAGGATTGCAAATGCATCATTCTTTTGACAGCGAAATATATCAGACAGGTGGGCATTGAATTTTGGGGGGAGTGACGCATTTGCGTGACATGACGCACATTTGCACATTAAGTTTACAGGTCATCATTGCCGTTCGATGTAGTTTGAACCTGACATGATGTAGAGACACCGGATTCAATAGCCTCAGATTTCTGCTTCGGTGACGTTTGGAAAAGTCAAGCCGCACCTTACGTTTCCTGCCAACTTTGGTCTCATCCTTCCATGCGGTGCTCTGATGTCACCTCCCGCGCCGTCCGAGAGATGGCGCCAAGTGCCGTCCCACCGTCGGACCCGTGGGCAGCATGTCTGTCTGGTCCCTCAGCTCCGGGAGGGAAAAGGGGGGGGGGGGGGCGGGCGCGCGCTGCGTCCAGGGGGCATCGCCATGCTTTGGTTATCGACTTTTTCGTGATGGGCGTACTGCCGAATAATGGCAATATTGTTCGTATGATTAGTTGTTTCGCTGGGCTTTGTGGCGCAGCACATACCATCAGAGCGATTTGAAAAGGCACGGAACAGGACATTTCCAAGTTGTCTTTTAAACGTAGCTCGATGTCTCGCCTGGAACGTTGCTTTTATAAAAAAGCGAACGGATGAACAAGCAAATGACGTAAAGGACTAAGCACGACAAGGAAGCGGAAATTATAGGAAAAGAGCAGATATTGCACGGAAGGTAAACAGAAGGGCCATTTACGAATTCGTCATAATTATAACGTCATATATAACGTCATATAACGTCATAATTATTCGTCATGTTCGTCGTAAACGATTCGTCATAATTGCTTTATGGGTTGCATGTTGTTACATGGCTTTGACTAATCGCTGTCGATTTTCAGCTAAGTGTTTCGTGTTATTGGACATTCACCGTTATGTTACGCACATTTCATTCCAAGTCAGCTGCCACGGAAATGCCCGAACATGAAGTTTCTGTGAGCATGATATGGCACTAACGTGCCGCTCGCAAGTGTGCACCATTTTCAAGGCTGCTGATGTGTGTTTCATGCGCATGAATTGTCGTGTGCGCGAACTCCCATGGGAAACGCATCAAGTGTGGAACCTGTGACACACATCTAGGGTGACTACAGTGGACTAAGCCCAGGAACTTCAAACGGGCAGTCAAGGTTGTGGTTTTCAGCGCGTTAACCTGGGGATCATGCATATGAATGAGGCATGTGGGCGGGTCACCTGCGTTTGGGTGGTAGACGGAGGGGGGAGGGGGGGGGGGGGTCGATACGCTCGGGTGCCGGTATTTGGAGGTCATTGGCGTTCTGCGTGTAACTACTCAGTGTGCATACCTGAGGTTTTTGTAAGCTGTCACCATCCCATCTGACGGTATGTTGGGGGAATCCTGGCCACTCAGAGACAAATGACGGCACAGCACAGCAGTGACAGCACAGCAGTGACAGCACAGCGTAACTTTTGACCTTGTGTTCGGCCAATGCCACGATCACTGAATTTACTGCACAGAGGCTCCGACATAGACCCACCACCACCACCACCTACCATGCGCCAATACCGGGATCGTGCTCCCTCTGGCTGGTGCGGGTTTGATACGTGCGAGCTCGCCAGGGCGGAAGCTGGGGCCAGAGGTAGTGATGTGTTGTATGCGTGTGTGTGGAGGGACGGGGATAGTGCACGTACGTTTCAATGACAGACATTAGCGTGACAAAAGGATGCCATTTTATGGCTTTGCGTGACATCGCTCATTGTCGTTAGTCCTAAGTCCGTTGGGTTCCTGTTTCGACTTCTTGCATTTTACGGTAAAGAATCGCATCTTCACGGGCTGAGGCGCTGCAGCAGTAAGCACGTTTCAATTATAGTTCGTGGCATTCGTATTGCGGATGTTTCAGCGGTTGTTCACTATCTCCGTGTTCGGAGGCAGTTAACGACGGTGAAAACGGAGACGGTCGTTAACTGTCCCCATTTTCCACGTTTGTCTTACCACATGTCTGTGTGTCCCCCAGCCTTAGCGCCACCATTATATTCCCTTGGGTCCTGCTAGGCAGGACAAAACTCCTAATCTTCTCGTCGTAACGCCGCGTGCGTCCTGATACCTAAGTATGGACTCGGGTCTGAGTTCGCGCCACGCAATATAACAACACTTTAATGACAACAACACGATGATGATAAAGTTGTAAAGACATAAAACTATCAGGCCAGCAAAAAGCCGCAAGGGCCCATCGACGTTGGTCTACCTCACGTTCCGCGCGTACCCTCGACACTAATCTTACCGTCTGACCTGCCTGAAGTTAGCTGTAAGTGAGATCCATATACCGATAGAACTTGTCCAAACGATTTTAAATGTTGCTAGAGAGGGAATTACCACAGCTTTGTTTGACAGTCCTTTCCAACAGTTCACTGCACTTTGACTAAATAGCATCTGCCTCTTCATAGTTCTACTCGTACCTTTTTGCTAATGGAAAGTTTCTTTGAAACCTCGGCCTAATTTCCTTGTAGGTCTACCTGGTCTATCCCTATCTTGATCCATAATCTTGAACACCCCTATCAGATCCTGTTGAAGACTACGATATTTCAATATTATAATATAAGGTTCATTATTCTATATATAAGCTTTCCCTTATATTCTAAGCTGTCAGTCCCAGCTATCATCTCAGCTGTTTTTCGCTGTACACTCTCCAGCCAGTCTATATCTTTTTGGGAGCGTGAGGACTAAGCCTGCGCACAATACTCTAGGTATGATCTGACATAAGCTACTCACAACTTGCTGACAACATTCCTACTCCTGTAATGGACATTCCTGGTAAAGGGTCCCAGCATTCAAAGTGCCTTGTTCCTAGCAGTCTTACATTGTTTTTCAACCTTTATATCCCTGGGAATTGAAACCCCTTTGCCCTTTTCTTCTTCAAACTGGTTCAACTCCCGGCCTCCCACTTTACAGCTAATGTCGTCACTGCCGGAAGTAGACAAATACATCACATTACACTTATCATAATTAAATGACATCTGGCACAGATAAGTCCAGTTCACTAGTCTCTTTAAGTCAACGTTCACCCGGCTTGCATTTTCTACACCCTATCAACTGAGTGTCGTCAGCAGATTTAAGCAACTTTTTCGTAATCATATCTCACTATTTTTCACAAAATAATTTGAAGCAAAGGGCCCAACACCAACCCTGCGGAACCCCACTCTCTGCTAGCTCCCACTTTAGTACCACTGAGCACCTCTCGTTGCTCCTGTATTACGGCCAAGTCCTCACCCAGCCCATACTTTCGCCCTCAGTGCCACGCATTTTTAACGGATGTAAGAGACGCTGGTGCGGCACGTTATCAAACGCCTCACTAAAATCTAGATAAACAACATCTAAACTATCGCCTTCGTCTTCTCAACTAGTAACATGCTTCATGAACTCCAGAAGGTTGGTCAGCCCAAATACCAAATGCGAAATACCCACCAGAAAGAAAACCATGCCGACTACAAATTATTAGGCGACGCCTATCTAAATATGACTGGATGCTAGCCTAGATGAATTTGTGTGAGATATTACACATCAGTGAGGTGGGATCGACAGGCCTCTAGTTGCCGACACTTTTTCGGTCCTCTTATATACCGGTACTACATTGGCATTGCACCAGCTCTCGGGTGCTTCTGAAAAACTCAATGATCTGTGAAATATTAACATAAGGGCGTGAGCTAAAGCACTAGCGTATTCATTTAGCACCCTGCCAAATATCTGATCAGGCCCGGCCGCCTTATTAGCCTTGATTTCCTTCAAGCTATCCCTTCCCATACCCCCGGTCCCCATCATATCTGCAGGATTGCTTACTCCCGGATTTTGTCCATCACCGTGGGGATCATACACAGTCTCCGTTGTGAAAATTGAAGACAACTGCCTGCTAAGAGCATCTGCAATATCTCTTTCCTCCACTACGTACTTTCCATCTTCCCCAAGGGGCCAGCGGGGATCCCTTATGCATGACTTTGTAGTAGCTAAAAATTCCTTAATATCGCCCGAACGAGTCTGATATCTGCGTTTCTGGTAATATTTTGGCTATCCCGATTTCCTTCTACAGTTTGCTTTTTATAGCAATCCTACGCACTGCCTTGTTGCTCTCTGTACCCTGCACTTTTTGCTTATCATATGCCGCCTTCTTCGCTGTCATCAAATGGCGCACTGTCTATGTTAGCCATGACGGCTTTTCGAGCTATTTCCTCGCGTTTTCCTCAACGGAATGAACCTTACCTGTCCTTGTAAAATATCCTTGAACACTTTCAATATTTCATGTCCAGTGAGTCAAGTTAGGAATCTTCCAGTTAGAAGCTAGCAAGCCGTAAGGCTGTAAGGTCTTTAAATTTCCCCGTGACAAAGTTTGACATAAGAGTTTGATTAGCCGTAACTAAATAACCCAGACGCAATGCAAGCATTACAATATTATGGTCACAACTTCCCAGTGCCTCACCTGCCATTAAACATCTACCAACCCTTCCTCATAAGTCATAATAAGATCCAAAACTTCATTTCTCCTATTGGATTTGCACGCCAGCTGCTGAAGAAAATTTTCTTCATAACAAACATTATGGTGAAGATGATGATGACAAAGATGATGACGATGGCGAAGATGGTGGTGATTCATCGTGATGTCCATGGCGAATGTGTTTGAACCCTTTTGTCCCTCTATCACATCTGCTTTTCAAAGTAACCCTGCATCGACCCATGTCCCAGCACATTTGGCTGTGCATGCTCCCGAGCAGCAGTTCCGTCCATTCCCCTCTTTCCTGACGCTGGTCTTCGCCCGTGTCCATTGTCTTGATGTATGAGCGCCATCTGCGTCAATGTCGTCCCACGTTGGCGTCGCTTCCTACCACGTACTGCGCCTTTTGTCTGAATGCCTGCGCGTATCACTTTCCGCCTCGACGTGCGCTTTTCTTTTTTCCGCCTGAGCGCTGATGTCATGACCTCAGCAGTTGGCACGCCCCTAAGCCCCGGCGAGCAGCAACAGGAGCGCTGCCTCGCCTCATCTCCCTCTGCTGCAGCACAGTTTCTGTGGGTCTCCATTCTCTGAATCATCGTCTCAGTGGGTCCGCCCGCGCCAAATCAAACCGTGACGGTCCCTCTGAGCGTGACGTTCGCCCCTGAGCGTGACGGTCCCCCTGAGCGTGACGGTCCCCCTGAGCGTGATGATCCCCTGAGCGTGACGTTCGCCCCTGAGCGTGACGGTCCCCTTGACCGTGACGGTCCCCCTGAGCGTGACGTTCGCCCCTGAGCGTGACGGTCCCCCTGAGCGTGACGTTCGCCCCTGGGCGTGACGGTCCCCCTGAGCGTGACGTTCGCCCCTGAGCGTGACGGTCCCCCTGAGCGTGACTTTTCGCCTTGACCGTGACATCTCCCTCTGACCTTGCGGTCTTTCCAGGCGGGAGTGCTGGTGCGGCAACATGCAGCCGCCGAGTCGGGCGCTGGAGCCGCTGCAGACCTGCAACATGACCTGTCGCCACGGTAACGAGTCCTGCGGCGGCTACCTCGCGATGAACGTCTACGAGACTGGACGCGCTGGTCAGTGTTGGGTGCCTTTTGGCAGGGGCGGGGGGCATCTCGGGCGGATTCCACCGTTTGGTGTATGTAGTGGTGTCGCCAAATTTTTTAGATGATTAAACACAAGTTAACATCAGGGGCAGTAGGGATGCGCAGTCGGAAAAGTCCGCCAGAATGCATCCATTTATCTGGATTTGGAGAAATGCTGCATATTTGGCTGGTTCACTGTGAGGTGATAGTGAAAGTAAGCTACTTAGCTTTCCGAGGAAAAGTTGCTTTGCCCCCCTTGGCATGCTTATTAGTGTGATTTATAAGAGGTCGTGCAAAAATGCACGCAATCCATGCAGTGATGCCGACGGTAATGGACGGGCGAGCTGGACGGCACTGCCAAGCCTATGGAAGGAATGAAGGGGTAACAAGACAGCGGTATTACAAGGAATCGTCTATGCACGGAATTGATGGACCCACCTGACAGGCGACTGGCTTGGCGGCGCCGTTTGGAATTTGACCGATGGGAGAACAAGAGAGTCAGTCCAATGCCCTCAGACATCTCCAGCGAAGGGACAGGGAAGTGCTGATAAATTCTTGACACCAGGGGATGCTCAGTCATCAGGCCCGCGTGACCCCTGTCTTTGCTAAGAGCAGCCAGTCGCGTGCCGTCGCCGCGTCAGTCCAGCGGTTTCCGAATCACCGGGGTCAATGTTCAGTGTGACGGCGCGCGGCGTGCCGCTCCTGCCTCAATCCTGATAGGTCGGCAGCAGGTGCGGGGGTGATAACGTGTTTGGTAGCGCACGTCCGTTGACGTATCCTGCAAACTGACCGGCCGAGTTTGGGAACCCCGGTTGGGGGGCCGCAGCTGAGTCAGGACTGGCTAGTCACTGGATGACGGAGGTGGATGGGGGGGGGGGGGGGGCAGCTTGAACGGTGCCCCGAAGGCGGCTGCGATGTTGCAGGCATAGGCTGGGTCAGCCGGACCAGCTGGCCAGAATACAAGGCATGTCCTTCGTTAATAACTTGAATGCTGGCCAATGACGATGATTTGGAGGGCAACTCTGGTGTGCGTGAAATAACTTGGGAGCATGGCCCTACTTTGGTTTTGGTATGACGCTCTTGTGCGACAAGAAATTATTCCCTCAGCAAATTTCGGGATGTGGCATGTAGAACGCCGTTACAGGCGTACCACCTCATTGTCATTGGCTGGGATGCGCCTCATTGTCGTTGGGTGGAATATCCGTCCAAAAGTTCCTTTGCGTTGGCATGGGCATGCCAGAGCAGAATCTCCCGTGCACCGTCGGGATCCTCCGATGGGAGAGACATCATACATTGCTGATAGTTTCTCAGCCGTTGCACTATATGACGCGTCACTAGTATCCCCCCCCCCCCCCTCCTCTCGGTGGCCCGTGTCACCGCCGGCACTCCGCTGCTCCCTTCCGCATGACCGCCTGCTGTCGGAGCTGTCGGCGGATGATTCAGCCGGGCTGAGGTGATCGGAAGGATCGAGCTGAGTCAGCCCGGCCGATGCCGCGCCAGCGCGTACCGAGACGTGGGAGGCCGCCTGGTGCCGAGCGCTTTCCGGTGTGGCCGCTGCTGATCACTGTGGGATGGTCCCGTCCGTGTGGCCGCCGCTGACCACTGGGCTGGTCCCGTCCGTGTGGCCGCCGCTGACCACTGTGGGCTGGTCCCGCCCGTGTGGCCGCCGCTGACCACTGTGGGCTGGTCCCGCCCGTGTGGCTGCTGCTGACCACGGTGGGCTGGTCCCGCCCATGTGGCCGCCGCTGACCACTGTGGGCTGGTCCCGCCGTGTGGCCGTGTGACCACTGTGGGCTGGTCCCGCCCATGTGGCCGCCGCTGACCACGGGGGCTGGTCCCGCCCGTGGGCTGCTGCTGACCACTGTGGGCTGGTCCCGCCCGTGTGGCCGCTGCTGACTACGGTGGGCTGGTCCCGCCCAGTGTGGCCGCCGCTGACCACGGTGGGTGGTCCCGCCGTGTGGCCGCTGTGACCACAGTGGGCTGGTCCCGCCCGTGTGGCCGCCGCTGACCACCGTGGGGTGGTCCCGCCGTGTGGCCGCCGCTGACCACTGTGGGTGGTCCCGCCCGTGTGGCGCCCGCGCTGACACGGGGGCTGGGCCGCTGACCACCGTGGGCTGGTCCCGCCCGTGTGGCCGCCGCTGACCACTGTGGGCTGGTCCCACGCTTCCCGCCACTGTGGACGTGTATATTTCGTGAGGTCATCATTAGTTGTTTAAAATGCCGGGTCATCCTTTTGTCCTGGTGACCTCACAAATTCACAGTTTGCAACGACGTTGGCACCGGAACATCTTGCCGCGGTTTGGCAGACTTTTTTGCCGGTATGCCACAGCTCGCATTGCGAGACTGTAGCATACCGTCTTAAATCCAAGTTTATTCCAAACCACGTCAGATGAGTTTCATGATACAGTGCCAACAGCACTTCGCGTTCATGGAATGTTTTCGTGGGGTGACATCTTGTCGATTCGTCCCATGGTATGCCACAAGCGCGCGAGGTCAATTTGATGTCGTCCTAGACACGCCCTTGTCAATGGCCAGTGACTATACATGGTAAACATCACATAAAGGAAGTGGTTCATGGACTGGTGTTGCTCGTTACCCCATAAAACATGCATCATGTGAGGCATTGAGCGCGCCGCTGGATTTGACGCCATGGCCAAGCATGGCTTTATTGGAGCCTACGAGGCATAATAAAGGAAACATATGTGCCATGTTATGGCGTGCATGTTTTATGTTCATCTACGACATGACATTGCGGACCAGCGGCGGTCGGAATAGCTCAAACAAGCGACTGTAGAAAGCAGAAACGGGATCCCGGCTTTCCTCCGGAGCGAACTCGTGGGATGACACTGGCGTAGCAGGCCAAGTGCGGGACCTGTGTCCGAGGACTGACGGACTCACGTCTGCAACACTGCCTGATCCGCTGACGGCACCCTGGCGGCGGCCGTGTCAGGGCTGGCCGCCGGACGGGTGGCCGCGGCCGCTGACCAGACCGGTCGGCCGTCACCAGCTGCGTGCGGGCGCTCCGGCCACTCCGCGGCTGGTTGCCACCTCGCCGAGGGCTGTTGGTTCTCAGCTGGCGGTCAATAGCCTGTCGATGGCGGCCCGCGTCCGCGCGCCGCTGCGCCATGGTGATAATCACCGACGGCGCGGTGGCATGTGCCGGGGCTGATCGCTATGCAAATAAGTGGCGCCCTTCGCCGCCGGCTGGCTTGCCACGGTGCCTTTCCCCGCCGGTTAGCTTGCCACGGCGCCTCTCCCCGCCGGTTGTTTTGCCACGGTGCCTCTCCCCGCCGATTGTTTTGCCACGGTGCCTCTCCCCGCCGGTTGTTTTGCCACGGCGCCTCTCCCTGCCGGTGTTTTGCCACGGCGCCTCTCCCCGCCGTTGTTTTGCCACGGTGCCTCTCCCCGCCGATTGTTTTGCACGGCGCCTCTCCCCGCCGATTGTTTTGCCACGGCGCCTCTCCCCGCCGATTGTTTTGCCACGGCGCTCTCCCCGCCGGTTGTCTGGCCACGGCGCCTCTCCCCGCCGGTTGTTTTGCCACGGCGCCCTCCCCCCGCCGGTTTGTTTGCCACGGCGTCCTTCCCTGCCGGTTGTCTCGCCACGGTGCCTCTCCCCCGCCCGATTGTTTTGCCACGGCGCCTCTCCCCGCCGATTGTTTTGCCACGGCGCCTCTCCCCGCCGATTGTTTTGCCACGGCGCCTCTCCCCGCCGGTTGTCTGCCACGGCACCTCTCCCCCGCCGGTTGTTTGCCACGGCGCCTCTCCCCGCCGGTTGTTTTGGCCACGGTGTCCTTCCCTGCCGGTTGCCTCGCCACGGTGTCCTTCCCTGCCGGTTGTCTCGCCACCACGCACTTGGACGGTCACTAGAAGACCGTTTGAAGCTCACAACTTTGCAGTATCGTCTGCAGGTCACATTTGGGCGCATCCGTCACGTGCCGAGGCCGTTGCGACCGCGAGCAGACCGTGCGTTGCGCCGGACTTTCGTAAACAGTGTTCAGCGTCATCGGCTGCTCGTGATGGGTTTGAAGCACGTCACCGCCAGTTCCTCTGAATGGCTGCCTGCCCTTGACTGTTCATGATCACTATGCTACCGTTTGAATTTGGTGACAGCTGGGTATCCACTTAGGGGTTTCCATGTCTTGACTTATCGGTGACCCCTGTAATACGTTTCTGCCAGATCCCCTCGTCGGTAATCTGCGATGCCCCGTGACGACTTCCCCAACGTCTCGACCCCTTGACAATCCCCGCCATTTCCGTGACCGCTGTGACCCCAGCATGACCCGCGATGCCCCGCCGTGACCCTCCACCTCCGGTCGCAGTGTTCAAGCACGCGTTCTCTTCGGTGGCGGACACGGACAGCGAGCCGGTCCGGATCGTGTACCTGATGACGCTGAACGGACGGGACACGCGGCAGGCGCTGAGGCTGCTCAAGATGATCTACCACACCAGCCACTTCTACTTCATCCATGTCGACTCGGTGAGCTGCAGAGTGTGCTGCACCAATTCTTGCTAGCGTTATCGGTGCGGACTATGGGGGCTGTGGTCTGTCAACCTATGAAGGGTTATGGAACATGCACGTGAAATGTACTGACAAAACATGTACATAAATATATTTGAAAAAGTTGTCGTAAGTGACAGCATACGACTTGAAGTGAAAAAGATCTTTCACAAGTGTGCTGTCATTTACATGGCGTAACTAAAAGATGATACTTAAGTACACGCCTGATATATAAGTAACTGTATACTATATTTACTGGAGTTTATATATACATTCATGTGTATACATAATTTTCGGTTGATTTTTGTTTTTCGAACCTCACGTTTGACATCGTCTGCTGGATTAAGAAGTAGCTCACAAAGGGCCACGTATTATCTTCCCATATATCCTTGGTTTAGCGTTTCGGTTGCATCCGCTATTTGTTGTCAAAACAACATATAGCTCTTCATCTCATGTTGGCAACTGCCACCTGAAAAATCAGAACATAAAACACGAGCATGCAAACAGCAATGGACTTCTCATGGGATTACACTCACCAGCGTTTTGGCCGGCAAAAACAAATTATTTCCGCCGTGCAGAAGGCTTCATTAACATCACACACTGTGACCTACACAATTAACATAACAAATCACAAGACTGCATGCTGATGACCTAATCCTCACGTGGTTTTGTCATGTTATGTTTCATGTCTGTGGGATATATTGGCGATGTTGCTCCAAAGCGGTTTTTCAGAACCTTTAATTTCTGTAGCATTGGTGTATGGCTATGAGTGAGTAAATCTGCCGGATTGTGGAGTTTCCTTGTGTTGTGTGCAGGTGCTAAAAATTTGAGAAAAAAATTGCGGTGTTTTGGTAGAGCAAATGTTGCGTGAGACGAGTAGTATGGTGGCGTTGTATGTGGCATGCGATCTCATGTGCTTCTTCCGTGAGATGCAATGTGAGGCGTCGGGACAAAAATAATGTTACACCAGTGTAGGATGCGGGACGAAGCCGCAAACTTCGTGGGGGCAAGGAAATGTTCATACCTCATTGGCGCACTTCAACATGTATGTCCTGGTTGGGCTGCTTTCCGTAGAGATCTCGAGTTTTGATATTTTTGTGAAATATCGCTATCTAAGCATATTCCCAACTTCTTCTGTTGCGTGCTTTGACACTCAAATTTTCGATACCTTCCCGTCGATTTCGTGGGCTGAATTTGCATAGTTACGGTGGTAGATAAGCGATACTCGTAGTGAGCTGCGAGTGAAAATATACATAACGTAAACCTGCTATTTTCGTATATTTATGTATGTATATATGTATATGACAAATATAGAACTAACAGTGTATGACATGAAATTATATATTGGCTATTTTAAGAGGGAAAGTTGACAAATACTCAATACAAATTATTCAATAATAATTATTCAATGATGGAAATGTTCAATGATGATAAAATTCAAAATGAATAGATCATATTAATTCGCCCGTCTCATTAGCTCAGTTGGTCAGAGCGCCTGTGTTCCGATCCACCCACCCTTGGCGGGGTGGGTTCGAGTCGCTTTAGGGCGCTCGCTGTTTGCCCTTGACAGGCATGGCCTGCGGCCGGTGGTAGCGGTCGCGCTAAAAAGATCGGTTGACTTTAGATGGCGGGACGGACCGTGCCGAGCATTGCGGCACGTTAAGCCTTCGCCACTAAATTCTGCCGTTGACGTGGAATTGCACCATCGGATGGTAGGGGTCAGGGCTCACACAAGCACTGCTTATTGTGAGCGTCGATCCTAGAAATCCATCCATTCAAAGGGTTCGGATCAAGTTAGGAAAAAAACGAATATTAAGATGATAACTTAAGGTATGAAATAATACAATAACATAATCCCTGATATACACATAGATAATCACAACTTTATAACTAATGGTAAAAGATTATATAACAAACTGTAGGGAAATGACTATATGATCCCTCTTAACATGCATTGCGTCATGGCGTGGAGTCACCTCGCTAACGCTGCACTACTCGTTGTTACTCTAACCTGACACAAGACTGCAATGTTGCAAGGAGAACACCATTTGCTCCCTTAATATTGATAGCTCAGCATCACTGTTCTTGTGTTCGGCTCTGTCACTGCAAGGCGTTTAGTGCCAAAATTACGCAGCCCATCTTTGTCGTTATCCGTAAACACCTACCATCGCGACCCGCAACACCGACCGTCACGACCCGCAACATTTTTCACCGCGATCCACAACACCTACCGTCACGATCCACAACCCTTGCCATCGTGATCCATAGCACTTACCGTCGTGATCCACAACACTTACCGTCGCGATCCGCAACATTTTTCACCGCGATCCACAACACTTACCGTCGTGATCCGCAACACTTACCGTCGTGATCCGCAACACTTACCGTCGTGATCCGCAACACTTACCGTCGTGATCCGCAACACTTGCCGTCGTGATCCAACTTATCGTCGCTATCCGCAACTTACCGCGATCCACAACACTTCCGTCTTGATCCGCAACACTTTCCGTCGCGATCCGTAGCACTTACCGTCGTGATCCGCAACACTCACCCTCGCGTTTCCACCGCAACTCCGCCACGAAACCCACGTACTTGGCAGCCCAACACCAGACATTCGTCGTGCCTGCGTTGCAGCGCCAGGACTACATGTACCGGACGCTGCTGGCGCTCGAGTCGCAGTTTCCGAACGTGCGCCTGTCGCGCTGGCGCCGCGCCACCATCTGGGGCGGCGCCAGCCTGCTGGACATGCTGCTGCACTGCATGACGGAGCTGATGCAGACCGACTGGCAGTGGGACTACGTGCTCAATCTCAGCGAGAGCGACATGCCAGTCAAGTGAGTCGGGGAGTCACGTAAGTTGTTGCGGGGGTCAAGTGAGTGGGGGAGGGAGTCAAGTGAGGCGGGGAGCCACGCAACTTGTGGCGGGGGTCAAGTGAGTGGGGGAGGGAGTCAAGTGAGGCGGGGAGTCAAGTGAGTCAGTTGAGTTCGCACATAACAGCAGCGCCATGAGGAGACATGTCGGAGGGGCTGTGTTGGGCACGGGCAGCCTTGGGCGTTAACCGGTGGACTTGAGGGTTATAGAACGTCATTATTCAACCCTAACCCTTATCCCCGGGTAAGGAAGGTGACGTGCGGCAGCGGTTACACACCTACGTCCAGCTGGCTTTGCATCTATTTTCTATGCGTGAAGTCGCTTGTCTTTCCAGTGGCAATCCCAGGGGAGTAATAAATTTCGTCTGAATCCGTCACTGTAACGCCACCGTCGCCAGTAACACTGCGCAATGTGGTAGGCCGATGATCCTCTGGATTCGAACGCCAAAACGGACACGTTGTTTGGTAAGGCTGGGATGAAGAACTCAGAAAGTGGTTGGTGCCAATGGTTCAGCGCACCCCTCAGTGACCCGTCACGTAGCGTTCGGAGACGCGAGGAACTTTCGTGCACTGTCCTGGAAACTTTCATTTCCGACTTAGAAAGCTAAAATGTTAAGTGCAAGGGGCTTGTTGAGGTGAAATTCACATCCTCTCCGCGGGTCACGGAACGAACTCACCTAGCTAACACTCTAAACGTAAAGTCAACCTCTGTGGTCATTCGCGCGACATTTCTTAAGAAGCGCCGTCTATGCCGCTTGGCGTGCGAGAGAGACGAGACGTTTGGAGATGTATTCACAGCGTTGTAGTGGGGACAATCGGTGGGGTAACCCCCAGCGGTGGCGAACACCAGCGCCGGCACATCGTCGTCGGTTGTCTCCCATTGAGGGGTCGGCTCCTGGCGTGGTTGACGGAGCGGTGAGGTTCTGCTCATGGCACGGGCTGGCGGCGTCCAGCGACGGGGAATTGAGCCGGCCAGCGCTTCAGTCGGCCGAACGAAGCCGTGTCGGCGCCGCCGCCTGCTCCAGTCCGCGGCCACACACGGGATATTGTGTCATGACACTGGCAGTGTCGTGATGGCTGACAGTCCCGGTTGTGACACCGGGTCCGGTGAACTGATAGGAACGAATGGACAAACTGGCGCTGGCTGCAACGAGCGGGGATGAGGAATGAATGGACAAACTTGGCGCTGGCCGCAACGAGCGAGGATGATATGAAGGACCCCTCCTCCTCCTCCTGCTCTTGTTGTGGGCTGACTCACAATGTCGGATAAGAGGGGGGGGGGGGGGGGGCAGGATTTTCGCGATCCAAGCCACCCATCGTCTCTTGCGTCTCGGGCTCCAGTTACGACGTCTGGCGACGTCGTCAGGCCGTAATGCGGCGCGGACCGACGGTGCTTCGCGTGAGGACGGCCAAACGGTCCTGGTTCTTGAGAAGCGTGTCCCACACTGGCGGGGAGCCGAGGGGAGGGGAACGATTAGGAGCCGGGACCTCCGATTTCTCGCGCGTGCTGGGTGTTTAGGCCCGTTAGAACGATGCGAATCAGCCTCCGGAAGCAGGCGCACTCGCGGGACAGTTGACGCCGGTACCCTAACCTTTCGACAGAGCCTCTCGACTGCCTTTGGTCAATCTCTGGCACCCGCCTCATAAAACGCTCGCTTACTTGCAGATATGAACTTCACTGAAGCGACACACCCTCGCCGCAGCGTCTATTCCGTACTGTGGACCACTCGGCTTATGTTTCACGCGCAGTTGTTAGCGAAGCGGGACGTTGTTCAGGCGCGCGGTATTGATCTGATCGCGGGTGTGGTATTGATTTGCGACACCGGATAGCGTGGATGTCATTCGTCGCTATTGACCGTGTCGAGTCGGTTTGTCTCCGCCTGAATCACATTGACCTGTAACGGTCGGGTGTAGGCCAATGCTGAGTCATCTGAAGGGAATGTTCCACATTTGAAGATGTTGAAGCAAGTATCAGATATGATACATCAACTCTCTTGTAGCTATCGGTGTACTTCACTTATAGCTATCGGTGATGGCCAGTGCTGAATCATTTAAGGGGAATATTCTACATTTGAAGATATTGAAGTAAATATTAGATATGATGACATCAACTCACTTATCGGTGTACTTTTAACTTGAAACGACTCCTTTAGACAAGAGAATGTCTCTTAAATAAATGTGTCCCTCAATACGTTATTGCTTCATTGCGTCATGGGACATTTGTATGATGTTGAGGTACTGCCACACTCGCGGTGCGAAATTACTACTTCTAGTGCCTCAAACTTATCGAGAGCTGGCAGCACGCTGCTGGAAGTGTTTGCTTAGCGAAATATTGTCATGCGTTCGTGCTTTTCCTTTCCTCGTGGTTTGCTTGCATATTTATCCATGAGTTTAAGATTATTGCCCTTGTTCGCACACTCGGTATGGCGTTATTCTTAGGTTATTTGGTTGCGAGTCTTATTTTCGTAAGAAGTAGGAGTGAAGAAACCATGTCCAACTTATTATATTGCGCAGCACAAAACATCAGCCGTCATTAAATCGTGCACAGCTTCCTCAACGCTGGAGCAACGTGACGTCCAAATCGTTTCGAAATCGTGTCCACGTCTGCCAAATTTGAACGGCTGGACGATAATATTTTTCTTGGCCTTAAACACCGCCTCGTCTGGGGTGGTAGGATTTGAGTGACCTTGTCACGGCGTCATACATGCCTCAATGACCTTGAAGTAGTTGCACATCCTCGCGTGCGTTTAGCCCAGAAACTAGAAGGTTTTGGGCTTAAGAAGGGCATGACCAAGAACTGCACCAAATAATCTTCAAAATCACTGCCTTTAAGCCCTTGAATGCCGATGTCTCGGACATAACGCCAGATGGTGACGTCACTGGGTGCACGTGGCATGAGAGGATGCGCACACCGAAGGTCTGACTATGGTGGGCATGATTCCCGACGGCGAGCCTGGTCTGTGGGTCCCAGGCCGACATCGGGTAGGATTTGTCGCGCCGCCAATGCACCTGAGGTTACAGTCAGCTGCCGGCCGTCTATCCACCGCGTCGATCTCCCAGCGTTCGCCAAGTGACTGGCCTCACTCGCCGCAGGAGGATGGAGCGGCTGACCGAGTTCCTGACCCGGAATAAGGGCAAGAACTTCCTCAAGTCCCATGGCCAGTCCATCCCCAGCTTCATCATGAAGCAGGTAAGAGTCGTCGGCACAGTGTACAGCGGAGCTGCTCCGCTCAGAGTACAGCGCTGCTGCAGCTGTACGCTCGCACTTTGTCAGGGCCTCAACCCCGGGCGAAGCTCACGCTCCAGATGCACACTGGAAATAATGTTGGGCTTGGTGCAGACGGCTAAAACGCCTCTGGTATGGGGTGAAGCGTTGGCTCCCTCTTGCGGCGGGTTGACGCATGCCTGGCTACCTCATTGCTGCCAAGGCTTGGCGGTTTGGACATATGTTCTCAGTTTGGTTGACAAATTTATCTTATCATATGTGGGCAATGCTCCCTTCTTAAAGCAAATGCCGGAACTCAATTTTTATCGATTTTTTCCTGTTTTGATCATACGGAAGGTCTCACGAAGACGGATCAGCCGGCGGTATGTGCTTATACGCATCGTGTATTTTTAAATATAAATGTATCTAGTGTGTCAAAAAGTCGCATCGCGCCACCTGGCAATGAGATATGGCAGGAAAAACCGCAAGCGCAATTTCCGCCAGGTTAAAAGTCGTCTCTACTGCAGATGGCGCATACGGCTTTTTGTTCACTATCCGCTGGTCTGCAAGTGAAGTCTTCCGTCAGGCAAAAAGCCATATCCGAACAAAATAGGACATCCGGCGATTTGCCTATCAAAAGTGCTCTCGATGTCAGTGCATTTTTCGTCGGACAAAATACGCATCCTCAACAGTGGTACTAGAACTTCGCGATGACTACATGTGCTACCGGCTGCACGTGCCCTATTACAGAGGCGCAGCCACGGAGTGAGGGTGGGGGTGGGGGGGGGGGGGGGGGGAGTGAACTCGAACCCTGCAGTCCTGCATGTTTCTGGCAGCACCAAAGATGGCTCCTTGCAGATGGTTACAAATCAGCGTGATGAATTCTGGCTGTGCACAGCTCCCCCCCCCCCCCCCGTGAGAAACCCTGGCTGCGCCCCTGGTTCATTTCGCAAGCTGTCTCTGGATCCTTACAAGAACTGCCGCGTAGCCAGGCCCAGGCAACCCGGGCCCAACGGAACGACTTGGCCTCTGGTTGTCTAACTGTCCTTTTAACCAAGATTGAAACTTTTCATTTCGACTCACGTGAACCAGCTGGAGATGAAAGGACGAGGGAAAGCGACGAACGGTTTGAGTGGATTGGGACCACAGATCTCTCGGAGAATGGCACTATTTTGCTATTTCGGATCTGCGATTGATGCCTGGATCAGCTCATAAGGCTGCTGGCCAGGTGCGAGTGCGACGCAACGGCCAGTACAGGACCGGGAGGATTGCAGCAGAGGAGAAACGTCGGCTGACATCCGGTAAGTCATAGGCGGAACTGTTTCCCGAATAAGCCTTCTGTCTTATGTCCACCTATTAGTCTTCTATGTGGACGGTGAATTTGTGTTCGCGCGAAGCCTGTCCGCTGGGAGCAGCGGAATTCCTTCCAAGTAATAACCATTCATAGTCGTTCTTCCAGTCAACGCCCGGAGATCCAGGCATACATTTTTGAGAAATTGGGGGCTCAGTCCTCCTTACCCCCGCCTCAGTTCTCGCGCTCGTGCCATATGCTTAAGTTTTTCAGTCTTCAACATGCCCCCGCCTTTCGGGAAAGGGCTCTTGCGCCCGGCTGTGACATGATTAGTCGGGAACGTGACTGAAGTGGAACGCAGCGTTAAGTGTTAGTAATTTTCCATTGAGGGTTACGTCATCTGCTCCAGTTCATTTGATTCGCGTTTATGTGAATGACCCGATTTGCGTTTTTAATATGACTACATTCGCTTAACTGTATTTCAACGTAGTTTATGTAGTTTGTCGTCTATGATGGACTAACCACTAGTAATATTCCGTGTAGTGTGCTCTATTACATTTGCAGAGCATTACCGCTGACCTTTGGCGTGTCGGTTTTGGAAGACACCAGCGTGCGCATAAATCGCATCATACATGAGGAGCGGATGTTTTCTATGGTGTACTGGGAGGGTGTAGCTTTACCCGCAGAGCATTTTACCCACAGAGCATTTTAATTGGGCCGACTGGTGCTAAATTATGCGGCACTTGAGCATGTTTAAAGTCGTACGACAGGTATTGTTCTGCTTGTTCTAGCTGTTCTTTGTTATTGGCTGGTGGATTCTGGCGTAGCTAGTAACACTGGTAGAAATTTTTGACGTAGCCAGGGCATGGTGTTTACGGGCAGTTCTTCAACAGACCACACACCGCTGTTTGGTGATGTTCGTTTGTGTACGTTCACGGCTTCGGCTCCGGTCCGTCATCTGTTCCCAAACCTTTCGTGTTCCATTATTGTTTGATACTAACCAGCGTCCAGTCCTGAACATCCATTGTTTGTGCATTTCAGATATACCTGATACCAATACGCAGCTTATCTTAACCTGTACCAGTAGGGTCGGTGACCTTGACCCGGGCGGTCACGAGTGAGGACCTCCGGGCAGTAATAGGAGCGGCCGAGTGGCGGGGTGCGTGGGCCGGGCATGGGTGGCCGGCAGTGACTTTGGAGGCTACCGGTGGGCCTTCCTGTGCTGATGTACCGAATTTGAACCGAACTGAATACTCCGCGGTAGTATCTCCGAGGTAGTGAGACGGCCAGCGTTAAAAGGAGACGCGTGTTCAAAAGCCAGTCTCAGTCTCCACCTGAGTCGAAGGCGATGGGGCTGGACGCAGAAGCGCTGGAGCAGATCCGGCTAATGGTCGAAGTCGGCAACACGATAGTAATCTCTTCGATCGAGGCCAAGATGGCCTCGTTCGAGAGACGCGTTGACCTGTTAGAACACAGCGGCTTCGAGATGAAAGAAAAAGCTCTGCCCTTCATGCGAAAATGATATGAAAGAGCAAATCGAGCCTATTGATATTATTCGGAGGCAGGTTTCCGCGACACTAAAGACGGTCAAATTTGCCCGGAGAGAGCGACGGAAAAATACCGAAGGACAGGCTGTTCACATACTCAGGAGGCGTTTTTCCGACCTGAACGTAAGCTGCCACGATATCCAAAACGCCTATCGTCTGCGAAGTGAGAATATGGTAAGCTGTAAATTTTTCTATAAGAGCCTCTGTGACGAGATTTACGGAAGACGATTCGAGCGTAGCGGGTGTGCCACCCAAAGTCGTCTAATTCTCTCCGAATCGCTGACGGAACACCAAACGGAAGGTAATGAACGCGCTCCTGTCTGCCAAGAACGAAAAAAAATATACACGGCCTTCAGCAAATACGGCCATGTCTATTTCAAGCTGCATCAGGATTTTCACAAGCAACGCGTGAACGACATGGAGGAGCTGTAGCGCGCCCTGGGCGATGCTCGAGCTCCACGTCCCGGCTCCGTATGGTTTAGCCGAGGCACAGGCGTTTCAAGAGGCGGTGCGCGGGACCTGCGCTCAGCCGCACTCGGCCCCGCCGCGCCACCTCCCGAGCGGCTCGGGAAGTGGTGCGGTGGGCCCCGCGCTTGGGGCGACAGAGGCGGCTCGAGAGGTGGCACAGCGGGGCCCGCGCTTGGGGCGACAGAGACGGCTCGAGAGGTGGCGCACTGCGGGGCCCGCGCTTGGGGCGACAGAGACGGCTCGAGAGGTGGCGCAGCGGGGCCCGCGCTTGGGGCGACAGAGGCGGCTCGAGAGGTGACGCAGCGTTCGCCCCGCACGGCAGGACCAGAGGCGACCACGACGACGGAGGAGCGGATCTTGCGGCTGGACAGCGGCCTGACCCGCACCGGCCAGAGGACGGGGGGGGGGGGAGGGGGCATCGAGGCCTGGTCATCGGGCCCACCGGCGGGCGGCGGCAGAGCCGTCGCCGCGGGCCTCTCGCGCGCTGAGCGGCCTGGCTGCGGCAACCGGGGTCAGGACGGCTTGTCCTTTCTTGTCCCCCTAATTCTTCCAGATCGATCGGGGCGGGGGAACCTCACTGAGCCCCGACCAGCTCGCAGCAAAACAGCAAAAGTCTTAGGAGACATTGCGTCCAAAATTGGTTACAATCGCAGTAAGGTGAAATGTATCGGTCTTCAGAACCACTGTTATGCCGGGCATAAATTGTATGTTTTTCAGGCCTAAATGATCTAAGTTTACGTTACCATCAAAGCCCATTTCTAGTTTTACAACTGATGCACATTTGATACACCAGTAACTGCAGGTTGTATTGACAGTATGTGTCGCCTTGGTGTTGGCAAGTGAGCGAGGCTAGGGCAATGAAAGGCGCTAGGTTTTCCTTTCCTTTCATGGGTTATTTATATTTATTATGACGTGTGGTTTGTGTGTACAGCAAGAAAATATGGGTGCACCATACGTTCACAAAGCTGCCAAGCGCATGTTCAGGTCTTTTAGAGTTGATTTTTTATTATTTTGTGCGGGCGTTTTTCTCGGCTGTGTAATGCCTTAAAAACAGCATTACACGGCCAAGCGCTGTATGTAGGTGTGTTTACTGTAATGAACCCACCCAACTGCTCAATAAAATCAGACCAAGCTTTGATTTGCTGCCGTTAGGCTTTCAGTGACACGTTTGCTGATAGTTGTTTAGTATGCACAACCTAGTTTACTAGTGTGTCATGTATGCTATGAATTTTGTTACTAGGGCTATTTCTATGAAGTCAAAGTATTATTTTTCGCAACTGCATTGTGTTCGGAACCACACCCAGACTGGAGATGGTTTTAAATCCTGATAGCGAAGAGCAACGTGATAATAATGGTAAAAGCACCCTTAATAATTAGTACATTATTTTGCTTGTTATATGTTTGACTCGCGACAGCCCGCCAAGCGTGGCCCACAAGGTAAAAAGTCCGCGGAAAGTGTCTGCAATTATTGGCTTGTGATAGGCGGAGTGATCCGAAACTTGCCACCGCAGTCCCTGCGCCAGCCAATCAAACTGTGCTTTCCGGCTTTTGGAAAGCGAGCTCCCTGTTCTCAGCCCATTCTAGCGTCGCAAAGTCTTGTACGGCTGCGACACCGCCCTCCGCTACTCACCACTGACATGATAAGCATGATCACGCACGCCCAGATTATCAGCCTGCCTCCCTGTCCGGCCGTAGTGTCCCGGGGTGGGCGCCGAAGCTGCCTTCTGCTTTGAGTACATAGGAGCTGCGCCGTTCGCTCTTGTGAGGCCTCGGATGGGCCTCTACCGCCGTGATGTGCTGCTGTGGAGGCTGCCACGGTGGTGTCTTATACGAGCGCCCCCCCCCCCCCCCTCCACCAGCTGTGGTCGGGGCCGGACTGCCGTGATGTGCTGCTGTGGAGGCTGCCATGGTGGTGTCTTATACGAGAGCCCCCCCCCCTTCCCCCACCCCCTCTCCCCCACCCCCAGCTGTGGTCGGGGCCGGACTGCCGACAGGCCGCTGGCCATGGCCTTTTCTTTCGCATCTGTTTACTTCAACTAAAAAACTGCGTAATCTGGGCAGTCGGCTCTTGACATTCAGGACCCTGCAACCCACGAGGGTGGGCTGCCTTACCGAGCTTGGGCTTACGAAAAGGCCATGCGGTTGACTTGCTGTAAGATTGCCTCCAAACTGTAGGGCCTGCTGTTATAAAGCTGAGGCGTTTGGACCTTATAACGAGTGAAGAAAACATTGGTTTGGGGATGGACAACAAACGGTATATCTGTTTATTGTTTTAGTTTCATAAGATTGACTCAAAAATAAAGATGTTAAGCGTCTGCAGTGAAAATCTGAGGCGTTTGGACATTTGGGGGATTAAAGAAACCCCTTTTTGGAGATGGACAGCAAATAGTTTGTTCCTTGTCTAGTTGTATTTCAGTGCATGTATTGATGCGTACAATTATTAATATGCATCAAACACGCATTGCAAATATAATAATATGATATGCGGCACACAGGCGTGTAATTCATAATTATGGAAGGTGATTACGAACGTGGTGCCTGAATGGTATTTGGCAGTTGCTAAATACAAGTCCGACCAAGCCAGCAGCATTTTTTCAGCATGGACAAAACTTCTTGACGTTCTTGACCATTTGAGACCCTGGCTCAAGTGTTTCAATGCATCCTGTGGGCTTGAGATTAAAATGGAATGTTGTACTTACAGACACGTGATCCATAGTTCAGTCACAGTTAGACGCAAAATTCTGCCGAAAGCTGCTCACACATCAAACACTGTTGAAGTCAAGAATACAGGGGCGCAAAATGGCCTCAACTCCGGCCCCCCTTAAACACCCGACCACCACCACAAGTCAAGAATACGTGACTGAGGTATCCGGCCTCCCGGCATCACACGTGGACGTTGAACCTAGCAGCGCTCTCACCTGCGCTCCTCTCACAACCAGGTGACCCGTCGCACCACTGCTCATGTCACGCGCCACGGTGCGGTGATGCAGCACGGCCACGGCAGAGGGCGGCGGAGTCCTCGTCTCTGTTGACCCCCATTGGGAGGATCGATGGCATGGCTTCGAGTTCATGATCCCGAGAAGCCAGGGCCTGGACGCCCCTGTTCTTTATATCGTGCACAGCTCTGTTCGTTTGCGCTGTGCTGGGTTCTCGGCCACGAACCGACTACAGTTGAAGCTAATAAAAATTGAAACCGGCGAACAAGCCCGAGGACCAAAGTGCCTTGTCCTTTTCCGCGCAGTGCCATGGTGCAGGGTGGGAACGATGCCATCGTCCCGGCTCTTGTCCAGCACTAATGTGTATGGCGTGACTCGCGAAGCAGTGACTCGCCGACTCTTCCCCAGCTCTATTGTCTGCCACGCCACATCGCGGGCGCTGAGCCACAACCTGCAGACACTCGGAGCCCCACTCAGCCGCTATTTTTCGTTGCAGGGCCTGAACCACTCGTTTTACGAGTGCGACCACCACCTGTGGCGTCTGGGCGGCCGCAAACTGCCCCGGGGTATCGCTATAGGTGAGGATCGAACTCCGACGGACGCCCCCCGCCCCCCCCCCCCCCCCGTCGGGGATGAAGGGGGCGTGAAGTGTTGTGAACCGTGGTTCGTGGTTTATTTGATCGTTAGATCAGCGACTTTTTTGATAGATGATGTAGACATTGCGTAGTTCTCGACTGAAGGTGTTGGGTTTCAGTTTCAAAAATGGCCGCCGGCTGTCCAAAACGGTCACATTCGAATGCGACAAACCACGATTGACCGAATCCTGACGTGACGTCATATCTCGACTTGCGGCCGTTTTGTAACTGCCACATCGCGCAACAGCAGTTTCCGAATCGTCAGTAGGTGATGTAAATCTCTTTCCGAGTGTTGATGGCCCAGTCACGTCGCGATGTGGCGAGTCATGTTTTGCCACATGGAGATTCGACTGACCATTTGTAAACGCTTGTCTTAACGTCACGGTCCGTGAGTCCCATTCGGTGTTTTTGTGAGCGCTGCTTCCGGATACCACTTCCAGGTTTGATTTTTTCGAAACAGTTTTACCACCAGCGGCGACCTAGGTTGTCCCCGTTTGTGTATAATGGTGACCTAGTCTTAAAGAAATAAGCGAACGTTACAAATTGATATTTTTGAAAAAGGCAACACATTGCGATGATGTTTGTAAAGTTCCGGGCGTATTTCTCATTTGTGGGACCTAAGGCCATTATGAGCAGTTATCGCGTGTAGTTACAATGCCTCCGGTAGGTGTCGCTAGTTGCTTTGTGGAGCGTGTGACCGCCATCGACACAGCCTCCTGCGGGGAGTTCGGCGATAAGAGATCAATTGAATTGATCTGCTGGCAGACGAGGGACAATTTTAAATGGCAGTCGTCAATGACAATGACATGTGATTATCGTCGATGATAACCACCCTACATTTCTTATAATTAAAAAAGCATTGCCGCGGCGAATCCCAGTTTAAGGGTTTCTCAAAGCTAAGTTCCACCTGGTCTGCATTTTTCGACACCTCTGTCAATTTGATATGGGCAGTAAATTTAAGTATTGGCTTTCTAATCCTATTTCAATATTATTCACAAAAACGATACAGAAGAGAAAGGACCCAACACCGACCCCTGTGGAACCCCACTCTCCTCGAGCTCCGATCGAGCAGTACTCTTTGTTTCCTGTCTTGAAGCCAAGCCCTTTGCCCAGCCAAGAATTTTCCCTCGATACCATGCAATTTTGACCGATATAAGAGACGCTGGTGTGGCACCTCATCAAGCGCTTTATTAAAATATAGATGAACATCTAAAGTATTGCCTTCGTCTACCTGTCTAGTAGCACGCCCCATGAACTCCAGAAAATTTGCCAACCGGGACCTACCAGAAAGAAACCATGGTGGCGACTATGTGTGTCAGGGTTTAACGGCGCACCCAGCTGCTGAGACTGTACGGCGTCGCCTGCCTCTCACCCCGGTAGGAAGGGCGGGCACCGCGGGGAATCGAACCCCGTACCTCTGGTTTCCCAGACGCGCAGTGGTTCACGCAGACGTGTTAACCACTACACTACCGCCTGCCCCCCCCCCCGCCCCCTCCCCTGCTGGCGATCATTTATCAACTGATGCCTAAGTGTGGCTGAATGCCAGCCCTACTGAATTTTTCAAAGATCTTGCGCGCTGGTGTGGCAAGACTGACTGGCGTGTAGCTGCTGACGCTTTTTTGGTCCCCTTCATAAACATGGGTACTACATTAGGATTTCGCCAGTCCACAACTACTTCTGAAAAGCCCAATGGCCTTTTATATGTTAGCACAAAATATTGTAAGCTAAAGCACTAGCGTATTCATTCGGCGCTCTACCACATATCTGGTCAGGTCCGACCGGCTTATTGACCTTGATTTCTTTCAAGCTATGCCCTACCATGCCCTTGGTCACCGCCAGATCGACAAGACTGCCTGCTGTCAGATTTTGTCTATTACCAGGGAGATCACAAACGGACCCCCTTGTTAAAAACTGAAGAAACTGCCTACCAAGAGCATGTGCAATATCCCTGTCCTCCACTAAAGACATTCTATTTTTCTCAAGGGGGCCGACAGAGAATCTCTTATAATTGAATTTGTAGTAGCTAAAAAAATCAAATGGCCATAGCAAGTGTCTGCCAGCCGTATTTCTGATAATCTTTTGGCTTTCCTGATTTCTGTCGCTAGCTCTCTGTGTAGAAATCTTTATCCATCCTTCGGCTAATGCACTCCTTACGCTGCCTTGTCGCTTTCTGTGCGCTGCGCTTCTGACGTATCATATGCCGCCTCCTTCACTGCCATCGAATTATGCACTGCGTTTGCCGTGGGGCTTCCTTTGAGCTATTTTCTCGCTTTTTTATTATTTATCCGGAGCAAAATTTGGAATAATAGTCTGATAAGGTTCACCTTGATAACCCAAATACAGTGGAAATCTCCCAATATTATGGTCGCTATTTCCCAGTGCCTTACCTGCTGTCAACACGTCCAGCACCCCTTCCTCATTAGTCTAAACAATATTCAAAACTTCACCTCCCTTGGTGGGTTTGCACACCAGCTGCTGAATAAAATTTTCTTCAAAGCATTTAAGAATATATTTGTAACTATTTGACAATTTTCAAAATTTTCGCTCTGGCATGGAATGTTGAAGTCTCCCATCACCACACGTTTTTCAATGACACCTCGGCCGATTTCTTCCCAATATCTGTCTTCACATCCTGACATCTATGTGGCTCCATGGTTGCGTTATGTCGGAGATCCAGGGTTGTACTATGTCCAAGGAACCTACGGGAGCCGGGATCCAAGGTTTTTGTGGATGGAACCAGTGAGAATCAGGAACCAAAACTGGGAACCAGGCGCATGCCTAGGTGCCAGTGTTGAGGCTTGGTTTTTAATCATTATCCTGTTCAGCGATGATGCCTGTTTTCGTCGTCATAGGCAAGTGAGCACTTTTGTGTGTGGTTTATCAGTGCTACATGATGGCTCAGATAGCATTGTGCCAGCAAAACAACAAATCCAGAAGCGTGTTCACGTAGTGGATCCCGGGGTTGCGCGGCCTCCATCCCTCATTATAAACTTGATTGCGGGCATGAAAGGAAATGTTCCGCATTTGTATGCGGTTTTGAGCTGAAATAGCCACTCTGAGGGCACATTAATTATGTGTAGAAAATAGCCGTGCCCTTCTTGAGAACTTAAACCCTCTAGTTTCTGATCTGCATACCTGCGAAAATGTGCACTTGTGCAGTCTATTTCAAGGTCGATCAGGCATGCATCACGCCATAGCAACGCCATTCAAATCCTGCCACCCTATTGGCCATGTGGCGTTCAAGGTAAAAAAGAATATAATCGTCTAGTTCATATAAGGTGTTCGTAGGATTTCTAGACACAACAGACGTCAATTGGCTCTCAACCAGTGCTGAGCAGATTGTTTCATTTCAAATTCCGAATAATGTGTTGTGCTACATGATGCAAGAAGTTGGACACGAGTTGTAATTTTTACGGAAATGAGACTTATGATCAGGTAACTTCGAAAAAAATCGAGAATCGAAAAGGGCAACGACAGGTGGACGCTGGACAACTTCTTGTGGCCTCTTACAGATGGCGGTAGTGACTGGGTCTGCTTGTACCGGGACTTCGTACAGTATGTCACGTCCATGGAGGACGACCTTCTTGTCGGCCTGCGGACTTTTTTCAACCATTCTCTGTTGCCCGCTGAGGTAAGTGATCGGTGGAGACCAGGATGGAGAACCGTCATTTGCTGCGAATGTCAGGAATGGAACGCCTCAGCTGTGGCCCTGAGGTAGTGGTTGTGCGATTGACGAAGTGTGTGATTTCAAGTTCACATAAATCGTGGTTGTGATATGCCACCAGCCGCATTCGCATGTCGCAGTTCAAGCGTTTTGCGACGTTTTAACGTTAATGACTGTACAGAGAGACAAGCAACGCTGCATCTCTGCTAGACAGCAGTGTGCCTGCGGAAGTAACTCAAGCCCTCTGCCCATCGTCATCTTCCAGTCTTTCTTCCACATCGCGCTGCGCAACTCGGAGTTCTGCCACACGCTGGTAGACAACAACCTGCACTTGACCAACTGGCGGCGCAAGCAGGGCTGCCACTGTCAGCACAAGTACGCCGTGGACTGGTGCGGATGCTCGCCCAACGACTTCCGGCCCACGGACATGGAGAAAATACAGGTACGCGTGCCGTCGAAGGGGAGGATATGCAGGTGCTGAGGTCATCTGAGCATCTGAGCATCTGGGCATCTGAGGTCATCTGAGCATCTGAGCATTTGAGGTTATCGATGTGCAGGATACACGGGAAGGGAGAGCACGGGCATGGGTGAAAACATGGTTGCAGAGGGCGCTGACAAGGGAAATATACAGGTTTGCAGACTACCCACATCGGGAGGATGCGGGCGCGGGGATAAGGGAGGCCACCGACGAGGAGATAATACAAATCTGGAGGGAGAATGGCTACCGACTCCGAGAAAAATACGTATACAAGGAGCGTCCGTCAAAGACTTGGATAGAATATTAGGATGGGTACCAATTATATCAAAAACATATGGACGGAGGTCATTGAAGCATGGCAAGAACCGGGTGTGGACCAAAATACTTGTACAAACCGCGACTGATGACGATGGAAGGGGAAGGGGGATGTAGAACAGTGGTTACGGAAGTTCCGCTGGTCTGACTGTGGGATGACTGAATTCAGTTGATTGCTGATCCCTCTCTTCTTTTCATAGGCCAAAAAATAAGAAAATGAGATGTAATTTAGTGTGAGGCATCCAAATGTTTAAGTGTCTTGGTGTGGCGCTTTGTACTGTCTGTGGTCGGTCAGGAAGGAGGGAGGCTCTAAGCTGGCGAGAAAAAGTGCAGACGTGGAACGTGCCAATCCCTTTTTTTATAAATTTGGTCCGAATCCTTTGAATGGATGGATTTCTGGGATAAGTGCTCACGCTAAGCAGTGCTTGTTGTGTGAGCCCTGACCCCCACCATCCGATCGCGCAGTTCCAGGTAACGGCAGAATTTAGTGGCGAAAACTTAACGTGCCGCAATGCTCGGCACGGTCCGTCCTGCCCTCTGACGTCAACTGACCTTTAGCGCGACCGCTGCCACCGGCCGCAGGCCATACCTGCCAAGGGCAAATAGCGGGCGCCCTAAAGCGACTCGAACCCATCCCGCCACGGATGGGTGGGTCGGAATGCAGGCGCTCTAACCAACTGAGCCACCGGGACGGACAAAGCTGTTTTTTGTCGAGCTGTTTTGTGGCATTGGTTCATTGTTCTGCAAACCAAGAAAGAGCTTACGTAAATTGTTCAGCGCATAAGCGAGGAACATTATTCACATAGATAAGACGGTAGTATTAGCCTTATTCCTCGGAGAAAAAACCAGAAGAACGGAGATCTAGTTGGGTTCATATTTCGGCAACATGCCTTGATCGAAACAAGAGCAGAAGTGAGTTCCAGCAGAGTAATTATATAGCTACTATGATAATGATAATAATGCTGCCTTATCCAATAAAGAGCGTGACAGACTCACGCGCAAACAGATAGAGCTTGGTGCAGAATTGCATAAGCCTTTCACATGAACGGCCGTAAAGCTAACGTCAAAGATACCACACTGAAACTGCTTCATCGCGTGATTATTAACTTCGAAGAGGGAGATCTTCTGATTGTCGAAAACCAGGCTCGATCTTCCGTGGGTGCCGGAAGACATAATGCCTTATTCTGGACGTCTAAATGCGTGCGAGGCTCGTCGGACGTTATTACGCCATTACGGACAGACGCCATTACATCCCACCCTGGATGCAATGGCGCCCGCTGGCTGGGTCAGCGCCGTCAACGGCTGGGTGTGCCGGTCTCGTCGTGCTGTGTTCCGCCGCTACCACTCAGCGTCCTCCCCCCCCCCCCCCTCCCACACCGTCTCCGCAGCGGACGGAGACGCGCGACCTGTTTTTCGCGCGCAAGTTCGAGTCAGCCATCAGCCACGAGGCAGTGACCATGGTGGACAAGTGGGTACATGGTCCGCTGCCGCCGGATCTGCCTGCGCTTCACCGCCACTGGCTCAGCCTCTACCACCGAGACGACCTGACGACCGGCGATGACGCCGCGCTGACGTTCTACCGGTGAGTCAGCCCCGCCATTGGCTGCACCAGGACAGCGCGCTGACGTTCTACCGGTGAGTCAGCCCCGGCATCAGCTGCACCACGACGGCGCGCTGACGTTCTACCGGTGAGTCAGCCCCGGCATTGGCTGCACCAGGACGGCGCGCTGACGTTCTACCGGTGAGTCATCCCCGGCATTGGCTGCACCAGGACGGCGCGCTGACGTTCTACGGGTGAGTCAGCCCCGGCATTGACTGCACCAGGACAGCGCGCTGAAGCTGGCTCAGCCTCGCCGCCGAGTTTGCGGGCTGAAGTGGAACGGACAATGCGGCTAAGCGAAAGCGTCGATGTGTGTAAATGATGGGAAGGGGTATACTACAAGAGAGGTGGGTGGCCAGGGCTAGCAACCTACTTCCAACCTAACTTTTGTATTGACTCACCGCGTAAGTGCGGACGCTACCGGCAAATCTTTACTGCTTCGTGAACTACAAAAATGAAATAACAAATATCCAAACAAAAAGGACCCGGCGTGTTTCTCAGCTGCTGTTTAGCCAGAATCGCATGAAAGTGGGTTTGCAAACAAATTTTTGGCTTCATTTTAGAACTTGATGTTAAACGTTATATTGTACGTAAGGATAAAGAATGTTGGAATTGCAGCATTGTTGAGACCGTGAGAAAAATTCGGAGTTGGCAGAATTATTCATCCGTCCACACCAAACTAGAGCTTGCACGTTGTGGATCGGCAAGATAAATGGCAAATGCCGCATTGTGACTTCTTTGAGCCAGTTTTCTAATGCTAATTAGGCAGTAATTAAGCAGAAGCAATTGTATGATTATTTATGCACAGTAGTGTTATAATGATTAACTAGCATTTTTATGCAAAAATATTACAAATTTTTAGACAACTGTGCGCGCTTAAGATCAGATGATGTTACAGAACAGTATGGACCATATCGAGCATGCGGGACGTTAAACTTTCGCCGCCCAATTCTCTTAACCTAACCTAACCTAACCTAGTGTGTGTGGGGTGTGGGGGGTGCGTGCGTGCGTGCTTGCGTGCGTGCGTGCTTGCGTGCGTGCGTGCGTGGTCTGTATACCAACCCATATCAACATAAGCTGTGTGATCCCAACATGACGTGGCGATGCCTCGGCGCCGCCTCCAGCCGCGCAGTGCGACGCCGGCGGCCGGCGGCGGCTGACGCCCGGGTCGTGTTTTCAGGAGCGTGGCGCGCCTGTCCGTGCAGCGCCTGAGGGTGGGAGGAAGCCGCTGTGACCTCGCCCTGGGCTCGGTGGTCACGGCGCACGTGCTCAAGGTGGATGACGTGTACAAGGTACGGCAGCTGGCGGGCAGACCATTGTCGGCCGGTCGTCCCTTCGGTGTCGGGCTGATGTAACGGCGGGCTGAGGGCCGTAGCCATGCCGTCGTTACGGGGAGCTAATATGTACAGGGTCTACAGGGCTAGTCCACTGTAGCGATGGACTTCACGCGGTGTTTTACCTGCTGGTTGTGATGCAGGATATATCCCTCATGCTGCATTCTCCTCTGCCTGTGCACTTGTGGTCCGTCATGCCCTCCCTTCACGCAGGTGTGAAGGTTCACACAACACTAGTGTGACACCGGTCTCGTTGCGTCAACACAGCGCCACCCACAGTCGGACTGCGACCTCAATACGATCTGCTCCACGGCCGGTGGTCTCAGGCTCACCCCTGCCTCCTTCCGTGACCTCACGGTGATCCATGCCACGATTCGTGACTTCGGCGTGACCTCGTGCCGCCGCCAGGGCACGGCGGTGCAGTTTGAGCTGGTGACTCCGGACGGCACGCCGCTGCTGCTGGAGACGCTGGCGTCTCCGCTGCCGACCCCCATCCGGCGCCTCAAGAAGGGCTCCGCCGAAGACAGACTCACGGTGAGAACCCGCCGGTCCGGCCGCACGGCATGGTGGGTGCAGGAGCCGAGCTCCACAGGACCCGGTCTGGCCGTACGGCGTGGTGGGTGCAGGAGCCGAGCTCCACAGGACCCGGTCTGGCCGTACGGCGTGGTGGGTGTGGGAGCCGAGCTCCACGGGGCCTGGTCCGGCCGTACGTTGTGGCGGGTTCAGGAGCCGAGCTCCACGGGTCCCGGTCCGGCCGTACGTTGTGGCGGGTTCAGGAGCCGAGCTCCACGGGTCCCGGTCCGGCCGTACGTTGTGGCGGGTTCAGGAGCCGAGCTCCACGGGGCCCGGTCCGGCCATACGGCGTGGTGGGTTCAGGAGCCGAGCTCCACGGGTCCCGGTCCGGCCGTACGTTGTGGCGGGTTCAGGAGCCGAGCTCCACGGGTCCCGGTCCGGCCGTACGTTGTGGCGAGTTCAGGAGCCGAGCTCCACGGGTCCCGGTCCGGCCGTACGTTGTGGCGGGTTCAGGAGCCGAGCTCCACGGGTCCCGGTCCGGCCGTACGTTGTGGCGGGTTCAGGAGCCGAGCTCCACGGGTCCCGGTCCGGTCGTACGTTGTGGCGGGTTCAGGAGCCGAGCTCCACGGGGCCCGGTCCGGCCGCGTGTCACGGCCGTGGCCGCCTGTTGGTGACGTGACGTGACGTCACCACCTGTTGGTGGTGACGTGACCGCCACCGTCGCCGCGGTCGTACACGGCGCCGGTCATGCGTTATTGAACGGTGTCGTGTTGATCTTTTGGAAGCCGTGGACTGGGTTGCGGAGGACCTCGGTCTGTCCGGTCGTGTGTGGGTGTCCGGGCACGGTGCCCCACAACATGCTGTATGTAGTGTTGGCACAGGTTTGCAGTGTGTCGCCATATTCCGGCAAAAACGTGGCGTTCTGCCATGACAAAACAATGATGCGTTAACACTAGACATCATGGTCTTTCTAAATTCTGGATTAGTTGTTGTGTAATTTTGTATCATATGCGATCATGTCCCTACTTTGCGTGTCGAGACCAATGGGGTGTAACGTGTAACGCGGTTCACTGGTTGTCTGGCCATTGACGTAGCTGATTCGAAGTATCATCAATCACGTCTCTAACGTCCCAGGTAATCCATCAATAACGGTGGTGTCGGGGTCTACACATGTCCTGACACGCCAGTGCTCAACCCCATGTTGAAATTCAGCCTATCTGGTTGTGGTCTCGGCCCGTATCTGTGGAGAACTGCGTAGGAACTCCGCACACAAGCTGCCTGCTCTCTCCTCATGCGCAGTCAGCGCCACAAACGGGACTTACCCGCATGTGGCAGGCCTGCTCCAGGTCATGTGGCAGGCCTGCTCCAGGTCATGTGGCAGGCCTGCTCCAGATCATGTGGCAGGCCTGCTCCAACTTAGCTACCGAGGCGCCCCTTATCAGCACGTCTTCTAATAATCATACACCTACCTCACGCCCCGCTCCGCGAGCGTGCCGCCCGGCGCTGCGGCCGTCGGCTGTCGGCCGGCCCAGCCGTTCGTCGTTTGCGGCGCGCTGGAGCGCGTCTCTCTCTTTCCCGTGATCGTGCGGTGCTGTCTACTGTGCCGCTGACCGGCCTCCTGCCGCCTGCCGCAGTCGATGGGCATCAGCACCGAGTTCGACCAGAAGGAGGCCACCTTCCGCAACTTCGGCCGCGTGATGGGCGTGTTCGCCACTCCCGTCATCATGCATAGGTGCGGCAGGCAAGCGTCATCACGCTCTCGCCGCGTCCGCTGGACGAGCTGAGACGCAGACGACGGCACGTTGCTCGTCTTAAGGCTGTGGTGTGGCGTGGTAGGCGCTGGCTGCTGTTATCGTCGGCAGTGGTGTTGTAGGTTCCCTACTGGGGCTATTGAAGTGTTGTGGAAATGATATGATCTTTTTGTTAGGAGCACTATCCTTTTTCATCACCAGCTTTTACATTTTGCGTATGTCTGCCCCTCTTTCTCTTTCTCCCATGCATGGTTTACATGGGCTGCACCCTACATGGCCGTGTGGTGGCGTGGGATCTGGTAAATTGTTCTCCCAAACACAGTTATGAACTGAGAAGCCTGCGCAGACTGTTGTCCAGCTGGCAAGCGTTTTACCTCCTTTTTTGCTAGGTGCACACCCCACAAAGTCTGTTCTTGCGATGTTTTGACGTCGTTACGATATGCCGTTTCTCGTCGTGCTACACACTCTCTGGTTGGGTGTCGAGGCACACCCCATTGAACTCTGTGCCCGCCTTGAATTTGGCCCGTCGTAGACGACATCCAAGAATGAAGCATTCCCAGACCACTAACCAAACGTGATCGCACTGGCCGTGCCTCCACTGCTCCCTGAACCTCACCAGCGCCCCAAGAGTGGCGGGCTCAGGATCCCCGCGACTAGGCCCGCGCCTACACTACCACCTGAAATGTGCCCGCGCAATACGTTCGGCACAGCCAGCGGCGGCGTCCCTCATGCGCGCCGGCCCCTGACTCCGGCCCGGCGGCGTCCCGCGGGCGCCGGCCCCTGAGTCGGGCTCGGCGGCGTCCCTCGCGGGCGCCGGCCCGACTCGACCGCGGGTCCCTCGCGGCTGACCGGCCCGGCGGCGTCCCTCGCGGGCCGACCGACGCCGGCCGGCGGCTACCTCGGGGCGGCCCTGCCCGCGGGCGCCCCTCACGGCGGGACGCGGCCCGGCTTCGACTCCCCGGGCGCCTCGCGGCGCCGGCCCCTGACTCCCCGGCGGCGGACGGCCGGCCCCTGACGCCGGGCCCGGCGGCGTACCTCACGGCGCGCCTGACCGGCCCGCGGGTCCCTCGCCGGCCCGGCGGCGTCCCTGCGGGACGGCCCTTGACTCCGGCCCGGCGGCGTCCCTCGCGGGCGCCGGCCCCTGACTCCGGCCCGGCGGCGTCCCTCGCGGGAGCCGACCCTTGACTCCGGCCCGGCGGCGTCCTTCACGGCGCCGGCCCCTGACGCCGGCGCGCCGCCTCGTCTGCCGCAGCTGGTCGGGCGGCGAGGCGCAGAACGTGACGGTCGTCGTGCAGGACCCGGCCGGCCGGCTGGCGCGGGCCGAGACGTTCGCGCTGAACACCACCGAGGAGTCGCGCTCGGGCGTCACGCGGCTGTCCGTGCGCCAGCCGCTGCGGCCCGGCACGTGGCGCGTGCACGTGCTGGCCGACCGCGTGCCCGTGGCGCGCGCCGAGTTCCCTGTACTGCCGCTGGAGGTGTACCGAGGCCGACCAGTCAACCGCGAGCAGGCCAAGTGAGTTGGTAGGGAAAGGCAACCGCTTTTGGTTGGGCGGGGGGGGGGGGATAGGTGGAGAGAGAAGGGTAAGGTACCGACTGACAAGGGACTAGTGGGGTGGTGTTAGATGTTCAGCTTTTTGGTGGGTACGGTTGCGCCATCAGCTTTAGATGCTGTACCCGATTTGTCTCCATACTCTCGGGTAAGACAATTGACGAATTTTGTACGTGGTCTTCTGCGTTTTTATCGGTGCGTTCTGTGAGCAGGGAGACTAGGAATTTTGTAGTGTCTGGTGCGTTTCTATTGGTGCGTTCTGTGAGCAGGGAGACCGGGAATTTTGTGCAGTGTCTCCTGCGTTTCTATTGGTGCGTTCTGTGAGCAGCGAGACCAGGATATTGTTCTGCCCCTGGCAATTTTGTGCATGTTAACCTTGCTTTATAGCACTTCTTGTTGGGTAGCGATAGTAGTCGCCGGCCAGTTGTCATCCTTGGGAATAGCTACTTCCATTGGTCTATTACTAACGGATAGGTATCAGTCGCGGGGAATGAGGGTTCCTAGGTTCCTGGGTCCTTGGGAGGGTCCGCGGGAACCTGGTCGCGGGGAATGAGGGATCGAGTGGTCGTTGGGTGGGTGGCAGGGCTAGGCGTGATATGGCGGTCATGGCCTGATGATCTCTATCATAACCGGTTAACCGTGGCTTCATTGCCACCATTTAATCGTTGTGATATGATGACCGTGAATAGGCGGCCGTGGTCTCGTGACCGTGATCTGGTGACGGCACCTGATGAGTGGTGACCGTGACCTGATGGCCGTGCTGTCGTTGGCGTGACCTGATGTTGGCTACTTGATGATCGTGACCTGATAATTTTTGGCCTGACCTGGTAGCCACAAACTGATGTTTGTGACCTCATGACTATCACGTTATTGTAGTGATCTGATGGTCGTGACCTCATGACCGTGACCTCAGAGTCGTGACCTGGTGTATCTGTCCTGATCCTGATGACGGCATGCCGCGATGACGACGTGCCATGATGATGGCGTGTCGTGATGACGTGCCGTGATAACGTGCCGTGATGATGCGCCGTGATGACGGCGTGCTGCGACGGCGGCGTGCCATGATGACGGCGTGCTGTAATGACGTGCCGTGATAACGTGCCGTGATGACGGCGTATCGTGGTGACGTGCCTGTGATGACGTGCCGTGATGACGTGCCGTGATGACGCGTGCCGTGCAGACTGCTGCACGTCGGCCCGCCGTTGCCGTACTCGGACCAGCGTCTGCCGGCCACCCTGTACCGCCTGCTGGGGGCCGATGACAACTTCACCGGTGCCGCGACCGCCGCTGCCGAGAGGAACGCCCAGCGGCAAGGCGACGCGCTGCACGACTGGACCGACGACATAGTGCGCAGGTCAGCGTCCCCGCAGACCCTCCGTGGAGGCGCCCGCAGAGGCCGACAGTGATCAGCTCGGAAAGTGGCGCATGTTGGTTGGGATTCCCAACCTGTTTCGGGCCGTTTCCCAATACTTTTTCAAGTGAGGTGTCTGAAATGTTCCCTGGGCTCCCGATGCCGATCACGCGCTGGACAATGTCTAATCACGAACGGGACGACTCGCCAACCTGTCCCCAAACGGCTGGTCATCGAGCTCCGAACGTTCTTCAAGCTGCTTATGGCGTTGCGTACGGGAACATGACTTCCCCAAGCAAATCACAATCTGACGATCTGAGAGGCTTGCGCTGGAGAACCTCGGGGAACCTTGGGAAACCCCAAGGTTCCCCAAGCGTTAGCCGATGACAGGTCGCTCGATTGGGGAAAGCTTAGGAAACCCCAAGCATTTTTCAAACCGATTGGGAACTTGGGCCTGACATTCCCCGATTGTTCCCAAGCAAAGGAACACACTGTGTGGGTCTGTCACCCCTGCAGGGGACCACGCACAGTGCGGGCCAGGCGACCCTGAACCGACGTGCGCTGGTGGGACACCCCTGGACGAGGGGCATCGTACGTGTGGAAACGCCCGTGCTTTAGTGGCCTTGAAGGGCAAAGCTGAGCCTGCAGTGTCGTCTCTGCAAACGCTGACCTCGGAACGTCATCGAACTGTCGGTTATGTCTTTCCCTTGACGCGCTGGATGCCGCCAGCGAGCTTTCTTGTCACCGGGCCTGTGATAAAAGAATGATCCTTTAGTGTGTGCTGTAACGACCAGCACGCCTCGTCCCCAGTCGCCGTGGCCATGAGGTCATCATTTGCCTGCGGTGACGTCTCATCTCCCTTCTCACCGTCGCTCACGGCGCTTCGAGCCGCTGCGCGACCTCAGCGGCGCGCGCCCAGCTGCGCCGACCGCCGGCCCTGACGCGTGGCTCTCTCCGGCAGACACTTCTCACTGGAGTCGCTTGTGTCTGGCGTCGGCGGCGCCGACCGCGGACCCTGACGCGTAGCTCTCTCCGGCGGGTACTTCTCGCTGGAGTCGCTTTGTCTGGCGTCGGCGGCGCCGACCGCCGACCCTGACGCGTAGCTCTCTCCAGCAGGCCTTCTCGCTGGAGTCGCTGTGTCTGGCCTCTACTGCGCCGGCCGCCGGCCCTGACGCGTAGCTCTCTCCGGCAGGCACTTCTCGCTGTAGTGTCTGTGTCTGGCCTCCGCGGCGCCGACCGCCGACCCTGACGCGTAGCTCTCTCCGGCAGGCACTTCTCGCTGGAGTCGATGTGTCTGGCTTCGGCGGTGCCGGCGGCCGGCTGCCTGGCGCCGCTGCCGGAGCCGTGTGCGGCCAGCACCTGGTCCTCGCTCTCGCCCGACCCGAAGGCCGAACTGCACGGCGTGGCGACCGGCGGCCGGCTGCGGCGCGTGCCGGCCGCGCTGGACACGCATTACCCGCACCGCGACGGCCTGTGACACCGCCGGCGGACCCGGCCGACGGCCGCCTGACGACGCGTGCAGCCGGCTCTCAGGTGTCTCCGGCTCACTGTCGGCCGGGCAGGCAGTCCCTGGCTCACTGTTGGTCGGACAGGCAGTGGCCGGCGCACTGTCGTTCGGGCTGGCAGTCGCCAGCTCGCTGGCGGTCGGCCAGACAACGGCTGGCTCACTGGCGGTCGGGCAGACAGTGGCCAGATCACTGTCGGTCGGGCAGGCAGTTGTCGGTCGGGCAGGCAGTGGCCGGCTCACTGTCGGTTGGGCAGACAGTGGCCAGACCACTGTCGGCCGCCCTCCGGAGCCCCGGCGTTGGTGCTGGCGCCTGCTGGTGACAGCCGTAGAGAGGACGCTCGCCCAAGACTTGGGGGAGGTCGCCGCGAGCACAACGCAATAATGCACTCCTTATGACGACTCAAGATGGTATCGAACGGGGCCGCGTCGTGTGTCCCCGCGCTGTACGCACACATATCGACCGTTCCTTGGGCGGGGCCCGTGCACTGGAGCCAGCCCGCCTCGCTGCGCGGTCTGGCAAGCGCGCTCGGGCCAGGGCGGCGGCGTTGTTCTGGAGCTGTCGGTGAGCTGTGTGCAGGGTACAATGGACCGCGGCGGGTGTAATCAGGACGTCTCTTATCCAGGCTCCATGGCCAGGTTGTGTGGCTGTAGCCGCTGTTCATCTGTGTGTGGTTTGTCTGTCTGCGTTTTCCGGTACAGCGTTTTACCGACGAGATCATCATCCGCCTGAGTGGAAACTGTGTGTCGCGTCCCCTAATCCTCGATGATCAAAGGTATATTTTACTGCCGCAGGGATGCGCCAGATAGGACCATTATGACCCCATCGCGATTCACCCTGTCCGGTACCGCTGTCGGTTGCCAGTCTGTTTTCAGTCGGTGTTGTTGACCGTTGTACTCATTCGTTTGACGTGTGTGACGCGTATGCTGTTCCGCCGAGCCTGGCATGCCCACCGCCTGTGGCTTCCGACTCTGGCTTTGGTGCGGGCACCGGGGAGATGACAGAGCTCGTCTCGGCCGGATCGTCTGGTCGGCGCACTCGAGGTATTCTGTCCCCAGAGGTTTTATACTGACGCGACTTTGACGGGGTGCCGTCGCCAGAGATATGCGCGCGCCCCAGTCTGTGCGACCGCGACTGCGCTCGGGTCACGTGACGTGCAGTGACGTTGTGTTTGCGGCGAGTATATTTATTACCGCGGATGCCGTCCGTCGGCCGTGGCGTCGCAGGTTTACACGGTTTTTATAAGTGTCTCTCTCACTGTCAGTCTCCATCTCCAAGTGCCCCTCCGCTCCCCTCCGTTCCCCTCCGTTCCTCTGCGCTCCTGTTCGTTCCCAGCCGTTCCTTGGCGCCCATGTTTGCCGTCCACCGGGGATGGCTTGTCCAGTGCCTTTCCCTGTGATGACTGGCTGCGGCAGCGGCTCCTGACGCCTGGTGCCGGGTCTTGTGATGACTCGCTGCTGTAGCGGCTCCTGACGCCTGGTGCCGGGTCTTGTGATGACTCGCTGCCGTAGCGGCTCCTGACGCCTGGTGCCGGGTCTTGTGATGACTCGCTGCTGTAGCGGCTCCTGACGCCTGGTGCCGGGTCTTGTGATGACTCGCTGCTGTAGCGGCTCCTGACGCCTGGTGCCGGGTCTTGTGATGACTCGCTGCTGTAGCGGCTCCTGGCGCCTGGTGCCGGGTGACGGCACATCACGGCATGGGAGAGTTTTCTACGAGCAATAAATAGGCCGTCTTTGTTAGGGCCGTTTGTCCTGTCAAGACAACAGTACGTAACTGTACAGTACGTAACAGTACGTAACTGTAACAGTACGTAACTGAGAGTCTCAAAACGCGAGCACCTCGTCGCTTTCGATCGTCACATGTGAACCGACAAGCGCTGTCATCATCGCTTCACTCACTGCCTGGTCGCTCGTCACACCAACGCTTCCATCAATCGTCACTTTGCCGCGATGCGGCACAGCAGCGAGAAGGCGGGCAAGAGGACAGCCGGCGCCAGTGTCTGTGAGGACCCCGTTCAGCCCACCGCGCCCCGCGGCAGAGGCTGGCTGAGTGCCCCTCCCCGCTGTAGCCCGGCATGGGAACAGTCAATGACATGTCCGCGCTGTGGTGACACCATTCATTCGGCTTCGGATATCAATTACATGCTCGTCAGTTCAGGAGTGACGGGTTATGATAGACCTGGGCAATAGGACCAGAAGCAGGTTTAAATGCGTGAACGGTTGCGTACGCAATCAGCGGCATGTAAGCAGTTCATTGTTGTCGCAGATTTGTCTATGAATACGGGCACAATTGGCTGCCATTGGTTAATGGATTTGGTATTTGAGTTAGTCATAGGTCCCGGGTTCGAGACCCACGTTGGTCGATGTTCTGGCTTCACTGTTGTCATTTAGTGAGGTGTTGCCACACTCGTGACCGCACCAGTTCCATGACTCCTACCGTACCAGTGTGACGCTTTGTCAGTCTTGAGACGAACGAGGGACACGAGGCGATAGTTATATGGGCCAGCAATTATGTGAAGGAATTACACGACACAAGGTCGTGACCCGTGATATTGCACTGCGCAGTGGTGTTCCCAGCGCACCATAGTCGGCGATCATGCCAACCTATGACACTGTCTCTGGCGACGCATTCAGTGGCCGGAGTGAAGATGAGATTACCTTCTGTAGCCATTGAGGGTCTTCCTTGCACGCAGATGCCGTTTTGTGGCGATGTTTAGTGAAAAAAAATCCTTTGGGATCCAATGTGTTTCAAAAACCGAGGGCAGCTGATGTCGTCAACTGGATTGACACAAACTAAGATATGCGTAGCGTTCATGCATCGATCTGTGCTTTCCGTGTTCTGGACAGCAAGGTCCCTCTTCTCAGCCCATTCGGATTCATTACAGACAGATGGCGAAGACACAGCCTGTTGCTTTCACCACTGCCATAATGAGCATGATCATACACGCCCAGATAATCAGCCTGCGTCCCTGTCCGGCCATGGTGTCTCCATGGCCGGGCAGGTCATGGTCATCATCATCATCATCATGGTCATCAAGATCCATGCCGAGGCTTCTTAAGACGCTGAGGCGGCGCCTCCGCTGGTTCTTACGTAAGCGCCCCTCCCCCTTCTCCCTCTAGCGGGGCCGGGTCGTCGGCCGGCCACTGACCATGACTTCTTCCACATCTCTCCCAGACAATATGACATTATCCGGGAGATAGTTTTTTTAATTTTAGTCCCACGAATGCACTAGGCTTGTCAGCCTGGCAGACCTTTTGCTCACAAAAAGTGTATGGTGTTGATTTTTAGTGAGATTGACCCCAACAACCGTTCAGCCCCGCTACGAAAAGTTGATGCGGGTGCAGATTGGAGCGATTAAGGAGAGTACGGTTATGAAATGGTCAGTACATGAATATTTCCTTTGTGTGTTTTTCCCTGAATTTGCATGCATTGATGTATGCAATTGCACATGGCATTACACGACATGGCAAAGTTAGCAGGCAATGCGTAGTGCCGTGCCAACATACATTAGCTTTATTCAGGCCTAACCAACCCAATAGCATGGCATCTTACCACTGGCGAAATAGTGTAACATGTCTCGACCGTTTCAGTCACTGGCTCATATATTAGCATTGCATTCTTGGAGCTCGAAAACAAAATAAATGGGGATAAGACAGCAGTCAAAGCTTTATTTTTCGGAGAAAAACCAGGAGAATGGAGATCAAGAAGCGTTGATTTTTCGGCAACATGCCTTTATCGAAACGAATAGCAGAAGTAAACTCAAAATTGCCTTCCGATAATCCCACTCAATTTTTCAGTTTTTTTTCAAACAGCGAATGGCCAGCCATGCTGCGGTACAGCGCATATTTAAGTAAGCATTAGAACACGCAACTTGCGTGTACATGCAAATGAATTCAAGCAAACAGGCGTCCCTCTCACGCTTCATTCATAAATGCAAGCGAGTTGAAATAAGCAGGCGTCACACATCGCACATCAATTATAAATGTAAGCGATTTTAATTAAACAGACATCGCTCGTTACGTGTCAGGTATCATTAAGCTAGCACACATCGTACATCAAGGCACATTTGACGTTCGCATAATCGACCATGATGAGCCTTGTGCGTTAAGGTTTGGTCGCCGACTTTTTATAAGAGAAGATTCACTTATTTCCTGTCTGGGTCGCTCTGTGCTCTGTATATGACTGAGCTTTAAAAATGGCACGAGGTTCATACCTCCTTGGATTTCAGCCTGAGCGTGTTTTGTCTAAGCAAAAATGGTTACGGAAATGGGCATTCCTTATTTTGTTTTAGCGTCTTGCAGGTGTTTATTATATCTCAAACGAGCAGGGCACATGGGCTCCCTAACATAGACTATGTTCCTCCCATGTTTTCACAGTTAAAGTTTATTTTCTTAAACCACGTCTTTGTTTGCAGCCCCCTTTAAACCCAGACCTGTATAAATGACATCTATTGCCGCCCGGGCACTTTGGCTTAGGGATAGAAGACTCCACCAGGGACTTTTTTAGGTTATTGTTGTTCTTCCAAGCTATGCGTACGCGCAGTTTTGATTTTCTAACGATGTGCATGATTTTCCAAAGCAAGCGCTCATCTACGTGAGGTGGCGTTCAGGATCATTCGTCCGACAGGACGTGTTCCCGTCTCCTATCACCTATCCCCCCACGGGCTCTAAATGTTTTGCTTCTTCCAATATTCTACCTAAAAGTCGCGGAGCATGTATCCATTACCCAATAGCAAAGCCCATATTTTGTTGATGCTCTTTTTTCCTTTTCATCGCTTGATGCGTTGTTTAGAGTCCTGTGGAATATGCTAAGAATTATGTTGTGCTTACTGGAGGCTGGATGCGCAGACTCGCAGTACAGAATTATACCACAGTGGGTGGGCTTGATAAAGGGCCTCGTTTCTAACGTTGTACGATCGTTCTTCCTCTCCACTGTCAGTAGTGTTTCCAAGTACGGGACCCCCATTCCGCCTCCTGTATGGTCCATCGTAAGAGCCAAATTTGGATGCTGGTTGCTCATGAACTCTAAGAACTCTTCAAGGGCACGCTGTCCGTGCGCCCATACTCCAGCATGATCATCGATGTATCTAGCTAAGAAAATTGTTTTCTTATGGGTTGGCGGTCAGCGCCTTCGTTTCAAATTGGTCCACGAATATTATCGCCAGAGGAGGTGCGTTGGGTTTATTATAGGTTCATGGGTTCACGGGTTACTGATTAATGGGGAGCCCATGTGCTCCTCCTCTGGCGGTAATATTTGTGGACCAATTTGAAACGAGCCCTGGCCGCCAGCCTATTAACACCAATTTCTTAGCTAGATGCATCAGTTATTATTAAGCAGGGACATGGTCACGGCCTGCGATTTGCATTGTCAATAGTCAAGCCATTTTCAGCAGTCCGTATGTCAGTGGGAGGCCCCAGTGTCGATCAGGGCCCACAATGTCCAACGGAGGGTCCTGTGTCGGCATGGGACGCGAGTCGGACAGGGGCAGTGTCCGAAGGGGCTCGAAATGCCCCCGGGACCGACGATCAAGAGCCCAATTGTGAGGTTGAAGGGCCCAAAGGGCCGGCTGTAGGCCACATTACGGATCGCGGCCGGGAGAGGGGGGGGGGGGGGCTGATCCCACATGTCATTTAAAGGCTGCCTCAATCGGTGCCTTTGGCGACAATTGAGGCAAAATGGACCATCTGGGACAATGTGGGCCTCTATTTCGCCTAGAGACCACCAACACCGAACGGTCGGTTCCGTATAGGTCTGAGTGATCCCTAGGGCAAATTTTCAGAGCTAGACAATGCTGGGCCCGCAGTTCGTATTGGTTGGGGTCGCTGCGCCGATGAGGGGCCCTGTGACGGGCAGGAGTCCACAGTGCCTAACAGGTGTCCTGTATCAGCAAGAGGTCCCGAGTCGGCGAGACAAACATTACCTGAACGGGAACAGGGACAGGAACCCTTGCGTGGGTCGGGGCCCTCTTGCAATGAAACGCATATGAGAACTGACGATGATGCGCCACAATAAGTCAATGGAAAACTATAAAAAACTTATTCTTGAATCCCCCTTGTCCCAGGCGATGGATTCGTCAGATATGCTACTAAAAGTCTCCGGAGGTCAGGAATTGTTGCCACAACTAGTGTGACGCAACAAACGCTTCCTATTAGAATGTCTACCGGACATACATAGGCCGCTATGCCCTGAAGCTAGATTTCTACAACAAAGGATCTACACTTTCAAAGCAAAGAGATTCCCCACTATCGAATAACTACGCATGGGATATGCATCTCTAGAGTCAGCATGTCGTTGGACCCTATGTCACTTAATGCGTTGAAATTAAGAGTGTCGCGTTTTTCTGAAAGCTATCGAAACAGGGCTTCTGTGGCACTGCTAGGATGGATGCATCCAGTTCCATTTTTAGAGAAAAACTTCCAAAATAAGAGTATTCGCGACTTATCGCTCAAGGCGTATCCACACCCTGCATTGTTGAAAATAATTGAGTGGCAGCATAAGACTCCAGACTCGCGCAGAAACGGTGAATGAATGCACATACATCATCGTTAATCTGCACCAGTGAAATCCAGCTCACTAAAAGCCGGGAACAATGCACAGTATATTTTTGACAAAAAATACTATTCTGACACGGAACAGCGTACGACCAGTGCCTTAGGCCATGCCACACACGCACGGAAACGGCTCCCAATTTGCTCATCCGGTGTTAAGAAAGCCTCTGCTTTTGTTGATGAAGACGTGAGGTGAGCGGCTACGGACCGTGCGCCAGACATCTTCGACGGAGTCCGCTTTACGGCAGATTTTTGCGCTAACGGCATAGTGTGAGGTAGACGGGAAAACTACGTAAAATAATGCGGTAATAACTGATAAAGCCATGCACCTGGTCGCAGATAAGGCGAAAATATAGGTACATTTCAGAACTTCGAAGCGTTCGTGCAAGCTTTCCACCAGACAAAGTTCTAACGGTGGAAAGCTTTCCACTAGGCGTTATGTGGTATCTCACATACCAAATTTATGAACTAATGGCGGCCAATTGTAGCCACTTGACCGCCAAATTTTGAACACCTCCGTACGTGACGGTGACAGCATACGGAGCGTTGTATATATGTACAGGCGTTTGCAGTCACCATCGTCTAGTTTTCCGTAAGCTGTTGTGTTTGAATTGACTAGCATATAATTGATATTGGAAGCCGAGGGAATAGTGCAACCAATGTACGGACATGGTAATGACAGTTCCGATGCCGGGCTACAGGGGGGAGGGGAACTCAGCCTCCCTCTGCCGCTGGGTGCGGTGGGGGGGGGGGGGGGCTCGGGGTCCGGAGTCCTCCGGGGTCCGGGGTCGGTGAACGGGGTCCTCACAGACACTGGCGCCGGCTGTCCTCTTGCCCGCGTTGACGCTGCTGTGCCGCATCGCGGCAACGTGACGATTGATGGAAGCATTGGTGTGACGGGTGGCCTGACGGTGAGTGAGGCGCTGACGCGAGTGCTGGCCGATTCAGTGTCTACTTGTACGTATTTTTTACTTGATCGGTGTTCGAAGTAGTAGCGGTTTTAGCCAAATTTTTCTTCTTGCTTGTCACCAATGAAATAACGCTTAAGGTGAGTTCCAAATGCAATTTGTTTTGTTCACGGGTCGCAGGGTTGGTAATGAGCATGACCCAGTGTCTGAATGGGTTAAGACATGCTTTGCATTTTTGTGAGTGGTAGATTGTCATGCCGTGGGGTTGGTCATTTTTGCATTACAGTGAGCGTTGAAATTACTCAGTGTGGTGAAAATACCAAAAGATGATGGTAGGGAATTCCATGCAGAGGCTGCGCGATGCGAAATACACTATATTGAAGGGAGCCTGCACTAGCCAGGCGGAGTGTCAGGGGCACGTATTTCAAAGAAAAAACCAACACCTTGAACTTTTCGAAAGCAAAAAGTCAACGAGGCGGCGACCAAGCCCCGTGAGTTGCAGGTGGTCAATCAAACTCAATCATCACGCTCAATCAAACTCCATCACAACACACTGAGGCAATGTCAGTGTTGGAGAAAGAGCTCCTACAGCGCTTAACCCATCTATAAAAATCACTCTCCATCGCTTTGCTGCCAGTTGCTCACTCTTTTTAATGATACCAGCCGCATTGCCTAAGTTGAGAACTGCTGCGTCGTTTTACGTCACAGCTACGGCCTATGTCTATAACCGCAGTGTCTGAAATGAGACTTCATAGTTCTCCAACAGGCCCAATATTCTGATTTATTGCATTTAAAGTCCGCGTCTGGGAAATTTTTGGTCCCCAATCCTGAGCCCGCCAAAAAGAGATCCAACACTGCATAACCCATTTCATTGCCTGAGTTACATTGATGAAAGGTCAATCTCCGTGAATCGAACTGTGCTTGGCGAGATTGGTTAATCAACTTTTGTTTGATTTTTATTGGTCAATTATTTGAGATTGGCTGATTTTTATTTTGAGATTGAGATCGCCTAATTATTTCGAACCGCGGGCGCTGCGGCTATTTCGTTGTATGACGGCTTTGCTTAATATTAAGCAACGAAGCTTACTCCAGGTTGATTCAGAGTACCGACTGATCTAAAACTCCCCATATTTTCAAATGGCATTTGGGTAGCTTATATATCATAACTGTACATAGCATTTCTCCGCTGACCTGTTATGGGCATATTGACCCACAGCACATCAAATGTTCCAGCTATGGGCCTATGGCCACATATCACGCGCTGAAAGAATGGAGCAAGACGTAAAATGCTTGTTGCATTAACCCGCACCGTGTCATTTTAATGCTCTGCATCTAAACAAAGCGTGCGGGGCCAGTACGCAATTGAAGCGGCGGCGAGCCGCTCACTGAAGCGTCCCTAATTCTGATCACTGGAGCTGTCAATGTCCGAGAGAGGAGCGGCCGCTTGTCGGAGACAGGAACGGCCGTCGGGCACAGGAAAGGCTGCGTGCCCCGCACTAGACTGGCCGCGTGCTGGCACACGAGAGACCGTATATCCAACGCAGGAGCAGCTGTCCAGCACGAGGGCGGATGTGTTTCGGGCACAAGAGAGACCGCGTGTCCGGCACAGGAGAGGCCGCATGTCTAACACAGGAGAGATCGCATGTCCGGCACAAGGGACCCCACGTAACCAGCACTGGAGTGGGTACGTATTCGGCACTACGGTGGGCGCATGCTTGGCACTGGAACGGCCACGTACCGGGCACTGGAGAGAGCGCAGGGCTTACGTAGCACTGGCGCCGGGTTGCGGAGCGCTTAACCGCGACCCTGGTTTTGCCGTTTTTCATGCCAAGGACTGACAGAGGGAAGGGGGAGGTCGATGCGATCCGCCGCCCCCCCCCCCCCCCCCCCACCCCGTCATTTCCAAACTAAGACAGAAAGGGCCGCGAGGAAAGAAACAGTGGACGGGCCTCAAAGACACTTTGCGATTAGCAATAAGTTGCATGTTGCTAGGCCGATAATAAGCCCTACCAACTCACGCAAGAGATCAAATTTCCCTGAAAATGGACCTTTTTGACACCACAATCCCTTACGAATGAGATCCTCTCCCGCAGTGAAATGGAATTTCAAAAGCCATGATACTTGTGACGTGGGCGTCCGATAAAGGGAGTGTTCCACATTTATATACGATTTGAAACTGAAACAGCCATATTGGAGGCCTTTCGGTGCTGTTTACAATACTGTCCTTCTTAAGACCCAAACCCCTCCGCATTTCTTAAGCCCCTTCTTAAGACCTAAGCCCATAGCGTTTCTCCGCTGGCCTGTTATGGGCATATTAAGTGAGCTTGTTTCATCATATCTGGTGATTACGTCAATATCTTCAAATGTGAAACATTCTCTTAACGCAACGATGTAGCGTACATCGTCGGTTGTCCGCCTGTTGCCCGCGCCAACAGCGGATGGCAGTGCGGAGCTCCTAAAAGCCGATGGCGTCTCAGAAGGCAGGATCGCTAGGGACACGTCTTGATGTCAAAACACGCGTCATGGATGCCTCAGAGGATGCAAAACGTTTGTGCGCGGTTACACGACATGCTGGAAATGCAGCCTCCAAACCTTAGGGAGTCGGGTGTCAAGCAACACTATCTATGAAATGGATATTTTAACGACAGGAGGCAACAGGACATTGATGTAGTTAAAGCGCTGCACGCAACCGTCAACTTTGTTCGAGGCAAGCATGCATGCATCGTCTTGGAACGTCACATGAGCAGGCGTTCTTTCATATAAAGTATATCTAGAAATGGCGATTTAGTTATTGCCTTGAACATTTTGGCCAAGTACTTGGTACCGGCCATCTATAACTTCAGATCGAATCGTCTGTTTTCCGGTCATCTCTCAGCACATGCTGGATATAGGGTGTTTCCATAACATTGTATCGATCAATATTTACTTCATTCAACAGTATTCATTGGTGACCACGAACAGTTTTTTTAAGATAACTTGCTATGGCTGAAAGCCATCCACGGATTCTTGCATTGTCTAGGTACAATATGTATTTGGATGTCAGAGCGGCATTCAGATCCCGCCCACAGGAATAATGAAAGAGGCGCTCTTTTTTACGAGGGTGTTGCAACAGTCTGTGGGTACGACATGCCCTTAACATCTCACACCAGTGAGCGAGACATTTGAATTGCATTCGCGTGTCCGAGCTATTGCTACAACAGATATTCGCGCATGTTGTGCCTTCATCCGCTACCTCGGATTTGTGTTATGGGACTCAAGCACGAAGTGCACAGCACCAATCAACTTGCTATGACGTTGAGCTTTGCCTGCCGTCTCGTAGAGTATCTGTTCGCATATGTTCCGCGCAGAACATCCATTCGGAAGTGTATTCAGGCCTCACAAGTTGAAAGAATGTGATAGGATGCACTACCTCAGCATGGTGTGCACAGGTACGTTTCTTTCCGGTCTGACGTATGGTGCACCACGAGCCATCAGCCATATCATTCAAATAGCCTGCTTTATCTGTGCTGTCACACCTCAAAATTACCGTAGGGGAAATAATCATAAGGCTACCAGAATAATATTTGGAGTAGCAATGCAAAAAAAACAGTGATATTTGTATTGCTTGCGTTGCGTGTCGATGAGTTCGTGATTATTTCACTTTTTGTACATGCTTAATGCTCCTCTTTGGTCTGTATGCCTTAAACGAAATTACTGGTTTCTTGACATAATCGTACTGTCATGTCGTAGGTTGGTGAAAATGTTAAGCGATTTTTTAGAACAGCATTGCGACCACCAAAAGCCTCACTACAATATCGATAATAATAATTCCGCCCATGATTGATTTGGTGCAAAATTTATGCAGTTTGAGTTGTAGGATTTTTTGTTGGAACAACTCTGCTCACGCCAGCTAATTGTGTTCGGTGCGTGCTGGGCATAAAATGCTCACGGTGATGATTTTTCTTCTTCTAAAATAGTCAACAGCGACAGCCTGTGCTTGGGTAGCAAACCTCAGAACTAGATCAATTTTATCTTGGATTCCTCCACTGGGAACTAGTCTGTTAAGTTCCCTCTGTTGGATAGCCAAATATTAACCAAGTCAACTTTGCAACTTCTGGATGATCTTCTGAGATTGAGTGCTGGCTGAAGGCGCCGTAAGTTGCGAGGCGGTTACTAGCTGATTGTGTAGGTATGGATGATGGAGGTCAGGTGGATGGTTTTGTTTGGTTTTCACCAGCACCCTGAGCTTTTTTAGGTATTGTGCACCCCTGATGTAGAGATCTGTTTTTAAGCTTTAAAACCAAGTGGCATCTACTTAGAAAATTGTATATTTTGAAAACAAAATCCGGAGGGGTTGTTGTCAAACACCACTGATTTCACAGAATAGCAGAGCATCCAACAAGGTCTCTGGATGGCTGACGACCTGGCAGATACTCTGGCTGAGCTGCCATTGCTGGTGGAGGAGGATGAGGGCCGTGTGGAGTGTGAAAGGTGCAGGTAAGTGGAGGTGGTGGACAGGTGGGGGTGGGATTGCAGCATGGTACACATGTTTGCTGTTAGACACATCCAGTGAATGCCTTAGAGAATACTGAACATTTGAATTCACAAATGCAAAGCTATCATTCACAAGCATTATACAGAGCGTCACGACCCACCCCTGCCCCATCGGGTTGAATGGCAGATTCAATCTGATAAAACTTAACTTAATGAGTAGTCATTGTTCACTCAACCTTGTGAAGTAAGATCAGTGCTGAGACATTGGATTACATGTTAGCCATCACCTGGGAACAATGCTATGTATATTCCCAGGTGCTAATGCTGGGTTGGGTTGCCATTGCTGTGAAAACCAGCTAGTCACAACCAACCTTCCCTGGGAAATGTTTGGATGTTTTCAGTCCACTATCATTACATTGGGATTTTTCTTGGATCCCTCCCCACTCCAGTGGAAGCATTTATCCATCCCTGTTCATCATACATGGCTCACAATTGCTGCCATTGGCTGCTTTGACTTAGTTGTCATTTTCATACTGTTCACAGCTACAGAAGGTGTGAATTGGCCAGAGTGCATGTCAAGCACTATTTAGGCCCAGGTCAGACCTCAATGACAAGGCTGTGTGTATGTTTGTGTGTTGTTCACAGCCGTCCACAGCTGGCCTGCTGGTGTGATCACCTGCCGAATCCCCCGCTGGATGTCCACACCAACATCATTATTTTGCAGGCAAGCATTGATGTCCTGTCTGATACTCCTGGGTGTGAATTGACCTTGGCAGTCAGCATGCTCATAACCACCAATACCTGCCAAAGTCCTAGCTAACATGGTTTTCTATGAATCAGTTAGCTATCGGGATGGGCAGTGGATTTATAGTTAGCGGAATTTTTCAAACACAGCGTTTTGGAAGGCATGGTGTTTGAATGTGTTTAGTGCATGTCTGCACCCCATCTCACCTATCTTGCTGCATTGTAATCTGGGACCAATGCCATGGGGCCAGTGTTAGTTGGACCAATGTTTTGTGATCAAAGTTCAGGAAAAAATGATGCCAGAGATTTAAAAACATTATCTTCCCATTGATATCCAATGTCTGGCTGTCTTGCTAGCAGTAACAAATGGATTCACAGCAAACAGAAACTCTGCTACTTTTGACAGCTTAACCCCATGCTATGAAAAAAGCCTACACAGTTTATGCTTAAACTTGTAAGGTTTGATTCCCCCCACCCAGATCCACATCACTATGAGAGAGATGAGCTCCAATTAATCCAAACTAGAGAACCATGCTATGTGGGGTTTTTAGATATTGGAATAAGTTGTGGTGGGGTTCCACTTGCTCCTTTTCCACCCACATTCAAGAGCCCCTTTGGAAAGTCTTGCTCAGGTGCTCCCTCCCCCCCTTATTTGTGGATGCCCTATTTTGTCTGGGAGGACCCTTGAAAATTCCTGTATCTACCCAAAATTTGTGGTGCTGCCCATGCGCAGAACACATTGTTACCAGTTGGAACAAAGGCAGTTGGGGGAAAAAGCCATCATATCGCCAAAAATCATCGCGTCGTCAATCATCACGTCATCAATCATCGCCAATACACCTAACATTGCACAGACGGCCCTTCCGACCAAAATCTGGGGCTCCTCCGCGCATTCGGCACAGTCACGTGGCAGCCAAGTGACTGGGCTAACTGACTGGGAGAAACAACAGTTGCCACCATCCGAAATAATTAATTTCTTTTGAAAAGATGCTGCAGGGGGTGCTTAGATTTTGTTTGGTGGCGAGGAGGCTAGTCGGCAGAGAAGGCGGGTCCCGTTGCGCCTCTCCCCCTCTCGCTCTCTGGGACGAGCAACCGACCAGGGGCTCGTAGTTTTTTCATAGATCTTATGAAAGCCAGAGTCTCTTGGTAGGACTGATGTGTGTTGTAAATGACATGCTGTTTTCTGTTTATCCATTTGGATCGTATTCCTTTTAACTTCGGCATTTGACTTGTGTCCTTTTGACCTATCTTGCGTACCTCACGTATAACCTATTCTAACCCGTTATAGGCAGGTGTGACCTGCCTGACCCCCTGATCCCCTTCCAGCACCCCCTGGAGGAGCGGCGGGCTTTGCGGACCGCACCCATGATTCAGCTGGGCCTGGCGCCCGGCCGGTGCACCGTCTACCGCGGCAAGAAGTTCCCGCATGCCAGGTGGGTGACGCCCGGCGGCAGCCCACCGCCAGTTGCCTACAGAGCGTCACCAGCGGCCACTCCACCGGCTGTTGGCGCCCCTGGGCTTTGGTGTGCGCTTCTGGGACGAAAGTGACGATCTTGTAGGTCGACGTTGATCCCGTAAATGCCTTTGGCTGCTCCGAGCACCCGCGCTCTCCCCCAGTCCATACGTGGGGCCCTGGGAAGTCGTCTCGATTGCGGGGCCCCGTCACTTCAATGTCGTCTTGGATGACTTTTGGACAGCACAATGTGCGCCTCGCTCTCGAACGGTGGTGATTCGTCGCCACGAGTGAGACTTTTACACATGTTTTGTCCGTGTCCACTTGTATCGCTCCACGCTACTAGTGTCTAACCTGTGTGCTATATTTGTCGCGTATTTCGTTCGCCTAGAGTATGTGCTCATCACGTGATTTGCCATCGCTGGTATGTCGTTCATGTGGCGTAGTGTCGCGTAATTGTTCCGAACTGGTGCTTCTTTCCAACATCTTGTCCTGGCCGTAAAAAAGTAATTCATATTTTCCAAGTTGGTGAAGTTCTTATTATAAAAAAGACACTGAGGAGACCGGAAAGGTGAAACATGTGTCTTGTTTTTGGCCCCATTTGATATGCCACGATACTTGGTTGTTAATCTTTGCACAATCATCGTTTTATTCAGTGGCGAGAATTGCCCGAATACCGTTGGTCTCACAGCTTTCCTTGCGTACGGCTGTGAAATGGACAGAGGAGCACTGACAATGCCAACCAGGGGCTCAAAATCATCAAAAACAATGCTGCTCTAGTCGAATAGCATGATGAAAGGGATTTGCGACACGTTATGCAGTTTCATGGCACGGTCACCGTGGTAAGGGATTCCTCCTCTTGCCGAAAAAACGTCATTCCTCAGTTGGGAATCGAGGACATACTGTACGGTGAACCCAGTGAGCGCTGGTCGCTGTGCGCCGAGACCAGCGTTCTGACCAGCACGCCGGCTGGATAGGTGTTCGAAGCGTTCGTGAGCAGCGTCGTGGGCCAAGAGCGAGAGCAAGGCAACGCTTGCTGTTTTTGTCTGCGAAGTGACAGCGTTTGCTTTCAAACATCGACGTAAAAGATGTTTTTATCTTCGTGGACTGTTTTGATTCTCGATACGTGACCTACACACGGACCGCAGATCCGGAGATCCGGGCGCGAACATCGGCTGTTGGTGTGCTTCCCAGTGCGCCTGACCCGCCGCGTTCCAGCCACGACGGCCTGGCGGCGCTGCTGCGGTCGCCGCGTACTGTGATCCTGTACCCGGGTCCTGAGGCGGCGGACGTGACGTCACTGCCGCCGGCCGCCGCCTCCGAGCCGCCCTACAACGTGCTGCTGCTGGACGGCACCTGGCGGCAGGCCAAGACCATGTACACGATGAGTCCGGCTCTGCACGGTGTTCGTCAGGTAGGTGGCGCTGGCGTCGGAAGCGTACGACTGCCGACAGTGAACAGGGGTCGCGTAAACTGTTGGATCATTGATCCAATGAATCGTTGAATCCTTAGAAGTCATGGCGGTAGCCGAATCCCATCTTTAGAATGATGTTTTTTGACTCCCCAGCTCCATGAACGACGTGGACTTGCAGGTTTAGTGCTGATGCGGAGTCGCAGCCGTGGCGCTGGTTTGGACTTACAGCCGTAGCACTGGTCTGGGCTCGCAGTCAAGTGCGTATCAGTGAACCGCCTACTGTGGATGTCGAGAGAAAACTGTGCTTCAGAAGCGTGGCAACCCTGCACTCACTGTTAATCAAACACCAATAGATTGATTGCGCGACGCACTGCGGTTTTTACATATCGTTGGGCACCGTGTAGTGCAGTCGACACCATCAATACCACAAAGTCATCAGTAAGCTAAATACGACGAGAGCCTTAACTGCCCCCAGCAACCGGCACACTGCATTATCCTGATTATCGTTATTGTCGATTAAGGGATTGAAGTGTATCAAATTCTGCTCTAAAAATAGCAGCTCTGTTGAGGCTGGACCACTGCCTGATCCGCGAAAGCCCCCGCATGGTGTGCTCAAAGGGGCCAAGGCTAACGAGCAGGCTTCCTAGACCTGTTGGCTGAAGGGCGGCAAAAGGTATCTGTTGTGCGATGTGACGTCGTTCGCCACCTGCCGGCGCATAAGCCGTCTTCCGACTGGCAGGTACAGGTGAGCGGCCGCCTGTGCAGCAGCTACGTGGTGCGGACCCAGCCTACCAACGCCTGTCTCAGCACGGTGGAGGCGGCCGCCGCCTGTCTGCAGCACCTGGAGCAGCGGCCGCAGCTGGGGCCGCAGCTGCTGCAGCCGCTGCACGCGCTCTGTCGCGTGCAGCTCAGTCACGGCGCCGTGCGGCACAGCAGCAAGCAGGCGCTGATCGAACGCGGCGAATACGAGCGGCAGCGCGGCGCGCGGACCAATCGCATGTTTCGCCAGCTGGGAGTGGTGTTGTGACGCCGGCGGCATCTATCGGCGGCGTTGGGAAGCTGAAGTGCGATGATGGATCGTGTGGATCGAGCCCATTCGTGGCCTGATTGGCCCGGATCTCAACGGGAGATCATTTGTCACGCTTTGAAGTGCAGTACTGCAAGGTCCGATACGGTTTCTTGGCTCGTTGACTGCAAGTTTATGCTATGTCGTGGAATTAGCAAGTATGTAATGGATTTGGCTTTTTTGATGGACTGAAGGTTAGTAGAGCCATATGACTGAATGTATCAATGAATGCATGAATGATGAAGATATGGACGTAGGCGAAATGCGGGCTTCCGTTACGCCTGTTCTGGCCCTGTCATGCATGGTCTACACACAAACATCCTGCGGGACTGGGCGTCATCTGGCGCCTCGGGGCCAACCCGCCTCGGGACCTGGTCCACTACGACGGCAATGGCCGTGGGCACATAATGTGTCAAGCGCTGCTCTAGGAGCATAGAGAAGCGAGAAGAGGAAGTAAGACGACGTTCGGCGATCTCTGACCGTGGCCAGTTGGACCGCTGTCACCGTCGCGGTGCTTTGCTGGATCGTAACGAAAGCGCCGGTCCTACAGAGCCCAGCCTGATGACTGGAAAACACCGAAAGGCAGTGTGAGACAGGGGGAACATGTATTCGCGGGCTTCACTACGAGCACACGCGTTCAATTCAGTAAAGGTCTTTATTAGACCGATTGGTATCAATTACGCTATCACATGAAGAGGCACTGTGCTCAGCAGCACAGCTGCGCCTGGACACAACCGCCTGGACGGCGCTCAGCCAGGGCCAGAGCGCGTGCTGCGGGCGCCGCCTTCAACTTCGCCTGCGGTGCCACAGCGCCACCTACAGCTAAGCACTACACTTCTGCAGGGGCGTGCAAAGGAGCGCACAGTGACTTCAATCCCTTACAGTACCTCATTTTCGTAAGAACACGGAGTGGACAAAGTACGACTCATCTGCACGAACCGATGATGACGCACGACATCGTCCGGCACCAGCGCAGCAAACTCGAAACACTGGTACAAAGTCGTGACAGAACAGCTTTCTTTGATATGCTTGCTTCTTGCGCTGGTGACAAGCGAAACAACGCGGAGGACGCCGCATCTTCTGATTCGAGCGCAATGGTCACAAACACGAGCATGGATGACAGGATAGCAATGGTCACAAACACGAGCATGGATGACAGGATTGCAATGGTCACAAACAGGCATAGGATGATAGGATAGCAATAGTCACAAACGCAACGCAAGCATGTCAGATGCGGGTCACGAAACCAGGCTCTTAGCCGATGCGTGGTGAAACTCAACGACGCGTACTCTTCGAACCATAACGATACGGAGCACAGACTACAGGTCCGCACCGCGTCCGGGGGAGCGGAGTGGAACGAACCACGGACGTGGCCCCCATCGCCCACGGCTCCCGCGTCGCGGGGGGAGGCGGGCTCACACCTGAACTTAGCTACTGGGGTCGGCTACCACTCGGTTGAATGCTCATCATCAGTCTGCAAATGCCCGCAGCCTCAGACGGTTGTGATGGACGACCAGCTTTCTTCCCTGCGAGTCAGGCAACCTGATCCGGCTATTCAATTCGCCAACTTGGCGAGAACCGCGGCCGGCTCCCAGGGTCGCACAACCTTATGATACTCGCCCCTGGCTGGCACCTTACGAAACAAACACACCGCGTCCCCCGGTGAACACTCGGAACACGTTCAATTTCCGGTCGTGTAACTAGCGGTCTGCGGTACTGGCTAGCCCGGTCCTGCCCCAGGGCGAAGCCGTGACGCTTTTTGCGAGCCACGGCACCCGCACCCGATGATGCTGGGCGCGCCTCTGCGGAGGCAGCGCGCCCGGCCGCGGACCGCGCCTGAGGCGTCCCACACGTGATGCCGCTCAGCTGTTCTGTGGAGTAGACCCTAACTGGCGGGGAATTCTGGACCCTCTTGAACAAGGAGAAGCCGCTTTTTGTGAACGTTGTCCAGATTGTCATGCCTCGCCTGAGCCGGAGAAGTTGACTACAGATGGCCTGCTTGTTTTCCGCAAGTGACTCGTTGAGGCACACCCCTTTCTTCAGGTCGGGTTCTTTTTTCGTTTTGGTCCGTCCGTTCCGTTTCGGTCCGCACGTGGAGCATAACCCTTGGGCACGGCGTGGGAGAGCATACTCTAGATAAGTCCCTCTCTTGCGGTGGTGGGCACACTGTTTCGGTCCGCACGTGGAGCATAACCCTTGGGCACGGCGTGGGAGAGCATACTCTAGATAAGTCCCTCTCTTGCGATGGTGGGCACACTGTTTTGGTCCCACATCCACTTTGAGCGGACACTTTCCAGAAAGGTGACGATGAAGTGACGTCCGGGGTACTCCGTGCAAAGCAGCCGCACGCTTTACGCTGTTCTCCCTTTAGACGGCTGTGACGGCCTCCTGCATACTCTCCCTGCTTCATCTTCCTCGGGTCGTCTTCCTCTGACAGACCCGGGCCAGGATGTGTGCAATCAGGGAAAGGCGAACGACTAGGTAAGGCGATGAGCCGAGGATGATAAGACATTTGCATTACAAAAAAAAACAGGGGCCTGAGCCGTTAGCCGTCGTTGAAGCACGTGACTCGTCGCAAGGAGGGAGGGAAGAGCGGCATGATGCCTCTTGGGATCGTAGTACGAGACAAGTACGATAGGTGGGCACGTCTTGGGAAACACTTCTTGGAAACAAATCTTGCCCCTTGTAGACACTTTGATCCAGCCAAAGAATGAAATGTTCCCATGGCGGTAATATGTGACCACATAGTTCAGCTCCCTATGGACAAATTCAACATTAACCGCATCACGGCCTAACCTGTGGTATGGTACAAGACGGGCGTTACACGCGTTTTGTCTGTCTTACCCCTCTTCTGTCACCGAGAAAATCGACGAGACTTGCTTGTACTCCATGTTGGCGGGTCTCCCGCGAGTCATGCCTTATAAACAGTGACCTTGCGAAGCATCGTCCGTCAAAAGCTAACCGTCCTACACTTTACTTTAGGTAAGCAGGGTCTTAGGCAAGCCGATGGAAAAATATTCCTTTCTAAAAAATATTCCTTTGAGAGGCACATAACAGTTTTATCGCCTTCCAAACAGCACCCGCCGCCTACCTTCGTGTGGCAGCGCGGCGGCAGTTAGGTGTGCTGGAGGACGCAGTTGCGGTTGATGAATTTCGCGGTAGTAGCGCGAGTACTTAAGCTTGTGGAGGAGTGTCCGCCCTTCCCTACCCTGGTCGTCTTGTCCCTCTCTCCTCTACACCAATAGTTACACCTGAGCTTGCCTCATCGCATCTGGTGCTTCAATGTCTTCAAATGTGAAAGATTCCCTTTAATTTTCATGGCCCACATTTTGTGAGCAGCTGACGTGACGTCTGGACCTTTCAAATTGTTGAAAAATCTGAAACAAGAACGATGACTAGCTCACGGGAAGGGAATGAGTCCATGAAAAGGTCTTCTGCAGACAGGAGAACTCAGTTTTCCAATTCATCAATGAAACTTCTATAACAATCCCAGGGGGGCGAAAGGTAACATGGTGCGCTAATTGTGAGGACGTGGCAACACAGTTGGCACCCAAAAACCAACAAGTAGTGTCATTGCTTTGATAGTAATATCGCTTTTATGCTAAGAGGCTCATATGGTAAAAAACACAAAAGCCACGTTTTTCCCCGGTTCACTTCCGACAAGCGGCCACTTCACTCCAACAGGCCGATAGGTCATGAACCAGGATTCACTCGAGCCTTACGTCCAACAGGAGCAAAAAGTGGTTTAAACATTCATTAAACATGTTGAACATATTTAATTTTTGAACGTGTTTAATGTTTGAACATGTTTAATGTTGAGCATGTTTAATGCTTGAACATGTTTAATATTTGAATATGATTAATATTTGAACATGTTTAATGTTGAACACGTTTCATGTTTAAACAGTGGTTAAATATGTTGACTGCCCCGCGTGAGTGCCAGTTGTGATTCATCACTGTTTTGATTGGGTTGCCTAGGTCTACACCAAACCTGCTATGCCTGCTATTAAAGTCGCACTGCTCCTTTGAAGACATCGAATGTTTCAGGATGCAGACTGCCTAACTGATGACAACATTACTTTAACATTTTGGCAGTTCATATGTCGCAGAAGCTGATACATAAAGTTACAAACTTGGTGTGAAGCGAAGTAGTATAAAAGAGCGGAAGCAGATATGATTTGTTTGCACGTCATCTTTGCGCGTAGCACTAAGTTTTCCCCGCTGATTTCGCACATCTTAAATCCAATACTGAGTGAGATATTGTCGGAGACGGATTCGTGCTTCACAGCACCGCGTAAGATGAACAAGCGCTCCTATCTGCGTAACAATCCTCCGTTCAATGTGAAATATTTACCCCGTTGCTCACAAGCATCCGATCAACCCGACATTGATTCCGCAGCATCCTGCCAACATGCCTTCGGCTTGGCCACAGTGCCAGCATCGAAAGGGAAATGAACGCGGGATATTTTACGGCTTGACGTAGATGCTGCCAAAGCGCCAGGTTTCACCCACGTTGGGGCCTGCTGAGCTCGCCACTTGGATTATTTGCATCTGTTGGGCAGTGCAAGCTTTAATCTCGACGACGTGCCTTTGTTTGAGGCCTGACCCAGGCAGATAAGTCTGCTAGATTTGGAGATCTCAGTGGAGACTGAGCCGGCACCAGCCACACAGAGATCGCCAAAAAATCGCGTCATGAAAATTAGCTTAAAGATCATTCCATCTCTGCAAGACCACAGGCTTGATGCAAAAAAATGACGAAAATTGGATGAGCCTTCACCCAAGCAGGGTCTCCTGTTTGCACACCTGTTGACAGGCAGCTCAGGGCCCATGGCCGACAGGATACCATGCCTTTCTCGGACATTCCTGGTGAGCCCGTTCCATGGTCATTGTCAGAGTCAGAATCAGAATCAGATCAGAATCAGTTATATCTGCACCGGCGGCCTGCCTGCCGGCGGTGAATCGGTCTGCATGGGCGACAGCGGCGGTCCGCTCGTCACGCTGGAGAACAGCAAGTACGCCCTGATCGGCGTCGTCTCGTTCGGCCGGCCGTGCGGCCACGCGAACATCCCGACGTCTTCACCCGGGTGTCGTCACTCCGGGGCTGGATCGAGTCAAACACGCGCGACGCCACCTACCGCAGCTAGAGTGCGGCAGGCAGCGGTGGCCTGCTGCTGCAGCGCAACTTCAAATCCGCAGGCTTAAATAATCACACCCGCAGCTTCTGGTGCTTTTTTCCGATTTCACCGCAATACGCAAGTAGAAAATAGAACGCAAATTTTTGAATGTCTCGAGCTTTCTCCTGCACATTTGCCAAGTTGCACGCTTTTGCTATCGTCAGACTTTTTACCAGCACAATGTTTTGAAAACATGCTAGTGCTGCGCATAGGCATTGGAAATGATTATTTCTAGTTGTGACACTCTATGACTGCATTACGCAGCACTGCTAGGTTCGCTGGTCTGTCTCTTCTTCCGCTGCGTGAGAACGGCCGGCTCTCGTCACTTGAAAGACCGACCACACAGCAGGGGGCCCGCCATTTGTTGTGGGGACATATGTTGCTGTGGTGATGTCTCGCTGTCTGAATGTGCTGTTTGTCGGAATAAAATCTGTGCGCATCTGATGCTTTGGTTTGCATTTGCTGCCGGATGAAAATAAGCCCAATTAACCGGAATTCGCGGGCGTTCCTTGCATTATTGCTGAACAACATGAGCTGCGTTAACGAAACGTTAACGGCCTGCCTTTGCTAGCCTGCTGTGCGCAGGATAGCAAAGGCAGGCTTAACGAATATTGTTTCTTGACCCGCGGCCAGAAATAAATCCAAACGTGGCTAAGTCCACAATGGCCAAAAAAGCCGTTGGCCCCACGGGCATCATGGTGTCAGGAGCAAAAAGCAACCGTCGGAACAGCTCGAGCCCGCCCGCTACGCTACGGGTGGGACAGAAGAGAACAGCTCAAACTAAACAGTTTCGAGACGTACAGCTTGGAGACTTTAGCAGGATGAACTATAAAAAGGCAATCGCTACATCACACCTGACTTGAAATGTCTTTTGGCGTAACTGACCCAAATAAGATGAACGTAGGTCCCCCCCCCCCCAAACGGGCATCGGTTTGTCAGTAACTTCGTAAGTAGCTTAGTTGATTTTAAAAATATATATATATTAGCAAAAACGTCAGCCACACATATTGTTTTTCAAGCCGAGCCTTTGCGTATGATTGCTTTGTGAACACGCCTGTGCGAAGACCGCCGGTCCCACCCGCCTGCAAGGGTAGCAATGGGCCAGCCGCGGTCAGTCTCGTTCAGCTGACTCCACCAACTGGTGAGGAGGGCCTCATTCACCATTCAGTGTCCTTTCTAGTACAGTGGAATTGCCTCGGTCGTTTCCCAAATGTTCTTAATTGAAAGCACTTGTTCCGCATTAGCCCAAGCCATTATCGTCCAGCAGAGGCTTAGTTTCGGCTACAGACCCATGCGACTGGGAATGTCCCACATTGGAGGATATTAAAGTAAGCATCAGATATGATGAAATAAGTTGAATTATAACTATTGGTATACTTTCAAGTGCAGAAGACTGCTGTAGGCACCAGCATTTCTGTATTAAGTAAATATGCTTCCTTAAAATGTCATTTTTCCATTTCATTATGAAACGTGTGTATAACGTTTAGGCGCTGCCAAAGTACGTGCTCGGATATGGTCTTTTTCTCAAGTTATTCGATTGCAAGCCTCATTTCAGTAAGAACTAGCAATAATTTCCAAACTCGTGTAGTATGTTGGTTTCGGCTCTTTGTACATTCCACCCAATATTTTATTGATCGTCCAGAACATTTGATTTAAGACCTCACCGATGTCCATAATTTAGTCTTGCTAAGCAAAAGAAATCATACTTATCCCCATTTTCTCGCAGGTACGGAAACCGCCATCGACTGAATAGAGACTGTTTGGACTGTCGAGGTAGATGTACACGACGGTGGCCATTTCCCAATCAAAATTTACATCACTTTTGATCCAACCGCTGACGCAGTTTCGCGGTTCATGCCAGCGCCGAAGTTGCCAAAATTCGACTAGGCCGAGTCTCAAGAACTTGGTTTTGTCAACCACGATCGTAACAAGTCGCCAGAGCAAGGTGTTAGCTTTGTTACACATGTTACTCACATAGCAGAGACGCGACAATTCCGCTGACTTAGCCCCCCCCCCCCCCCCCCCATCACGGCGCACCCCAATACCGTCGTGAGCTATGAGCCACATAAGTTAAAAAGGCTAATGCACGCCGGAAACGCACCTTCCGCTGCTTTCGTTACCATCATGACATACTTCACCTCCTTACCCGAAATTATAAGCGTGCTCGAACCAGGCAATTTATTAGGAGGGTCAAATGTCATTCTTAGCAAACCTGCATTCAGCAGTTCACTGCTGCCATTCTTCTAGGCCGATTATAGGGACTGGTTCCAGCACTTTCCGGAAAGCACTTAACTAAATTATTTCGGCAGTACACTAATCACCAATCATCTTGCAGTGAGCCTTACTCGATGCGGTTCCTCCGGAAATTATCAGGAGGCGTCGAGGATTTTTTGCAGGGAGCTGTTTTTGCCCAACATCCTAGTTATTTTGTTTCCGACAGTACAAAAACCGCAGTACGCAAAATTCATTGCTGAAGCTCTGAAATGCAATGAAATCCGCCAGCAACATCTAGGTCAACAATGATCAGGTGCGCCAATTTTTGTCGTTATCTTCTGTGAATATGCTTCATTTTTTTGCGACGGTTTTTGGTGCTTTGTAATCCTTCTGTAATGTATGGGGAGAAACTATCTTTATTTATCTCTGAAAACCGAGGAAAGACGCCCAAAACACGTCAAATTGTCGCCGATCGTACTCAACAGCTGTCTGGGAAAACTTTTGAAACGATGGTCGTGAAACATTTTTGGGGGGATAGGAGAACAAAACGGTCTGCTTTCAAAAAATCAGTATGAATTTCAACACAATCGCCGCACTCAGGTCAGGTCAGGACTTACCACAGTATCTCGAACCACCGTCTACTGCAACAACCTTAATTTTGATATACCGCATTCCTCAGCACCCCCTGGCTTTAATAGTACCACCCTGCAAAAAAAACTGTTTCTTTTTCATAAGTGCTCTGCCAAAACAGCATGTCTTTAACAGACGTTTAATCATGTGATTGCCGATTACCCGAAAAACTGTTTTGCTCGCACTGATGGCTCGAAAGCCAGCGACCGAATGGGATATTCAGTAAGTTGCAGTGAACATCACTATAAAACTTGTAAGTTACTGGATGACACTTCAGTTTATTTGGCTCAATTATTTACACTTCTTCATGCTTTTAACACATTCAACAACACAACCATGCCCCAAGAACAATAGTGATCTGTTAATTCTTATGCAGTTCTACAGTAGCTTGCTGCCTTGAAATAACTCACCACCTCCCCGTCAACGTTACCAATCTGCATCCCCTACCTATTACGCAAAGAGGGCATGGGCATAATATTGTTATGGATTCCAGCTCATGGAGGAACCATAGGGAGTGGGCAGGCTGACCAACCGGCCAATAGGCTTTAAAAAACCCTCCCCATATCACATATCGCCGTTGACAATACATCTATAGATATGGCTGCCTATTGCACAAAATGATTGGATGCCAAAATCGTCGAAGACACCAAAATACTTCAACCACATATTTTCTGGGCGTCCACTTTACCTCTACAATTTTTAAATCAACATTCATGACATGCTTTTAAAGCTAGTGCGATCGTCCAAAACAATCACAGGTGGAAGCCTAGCAGTTTGCATAAGCACACCACTTTTGCGAAATAGAAGGAAAGAAGTTGCACCTTTGTCTTGCGTACCGAACGCGAAATCTGTGTTTGATATACCAATAGGTTCTTAAGTAATTTGTTGATCATTCAGTTATGCATTCACAAGAATGGACTGTCCGATGATGTATGTCGCTATCTTAGCCCGTTTACATGCACGCTCATAATTTGATCGGCAAAAAGATGCATTTTAATCGGTGAAAAACAAACCGTAAGTATGCCTCCAAGCAGTTTCAAGACAAGAGAACTGCACCATTCCGCAAATATGCTTAAGGCTGATGCCCTTCTGTTAGAAATGATTTTCTCAGCTCGTCTCAGGGGACATGCGTTGCGAGCCTGCTGTACTCCTGGGGTAAACCATTCCAGCTGTTGTGGCCCCTAAACGGAAAGTGTCCCTTCCCCATCAGTTTGAGCATGTGGGCAGACGAAACAGCCGCCACGTCAATGTCATGTGCTGGTTGGACCTGTGTCATAAGAGTGGCAGTGCTCTCAAATAATTACATCGATTGCACGTATGAAAAAAGTTTGTTTTGTAACGGCAGCTCAAAGGCCGCGACGTTGTGGACACGGACTGTCATGTTTTGAAGTCGCATGAACACTGCGCGCGACTGTGTGCGCCTCTGGTTCATCGTTGGCAGCGTTTTTGGCGTCGGTAGTCACTGGTTCAGTCTTCTTTTTCAACAATTGTACCTAGTAACAGAAGATGACCTCTTCTTGTTTGTTCCGACCTTCTTTTTTGAGGTTGTTTGTTCTGAAGTTTGGGTAACACAGTTCAGCTTAACTAAAAAGCTGTTAACTTAGATTAAAAGGGCACGAAAGTTCTCCTAAGTTTCGGGAGGGGGGGGGGGCGAAAGCTTTTTTTGCGTACTTCTTTCCAGTTAACGCCCATGGAGCCAACGCTAAATTTTAAGAAGGTTGGGGCCTTGCTCCCTCCTCTCTAGTGCCCGCACCTCTGCTCAGGCGTGCTCACTTCCCGACACCGATGGAATTTCTACAGCTTTGCTGCATATTCGCCGGTAAAGTGCATGCTCATGTTCGTCATTTAAGCCTGCGTGATCGGTTGACAGACACGTACATCTACCATTAATAATCTACTTGTTACTGGTAAAAGGGTAGTTAGATGTTCAGGCCGCTTATCTCCAACAGTTTGCGCGTGCCACGTTTCCGCCTTTCACCCTGATTTTGTTTTAACCGCTAGGTATATAACTTATAATTTGCAC